ACGCGGATCGGTAATACACACCGCATCTCCAGCCGAACTCGCCCGCACCACCGTCAGCCCGCCACATGCTCCAGGTCCCATAAGGCTTTGCTCTACCGCGTTATCGCACACGCAACGTCGCCAAATCGAGGCTTCGTTCAAGTTCAAGTTCAAGGTATCTGCTCATATTCATAGGTGGACGCATTTCTGTCGAACGGAACTATGTGCATTATGACGTGAGCTCTGTTATGCATGTATTCTTATGGGTTTCAGGGCTCATGTCCTAATGCACATAGTTCCGTTCGGCAGAAATACGTCAAAATAACTGCCATTTTTCTTAAACGTGCGTTTAAGTCTCTGAAGGCGGTATTGTGTTCGTCATTTTAAGGCATAGAGATTGCATCGGCGTATGCATTGATAAGCTTAAGCTGAAATGTTAACCCTTAATTTGTATTTCTTTTTTCAGTAAAACAAAAAAGAAGAGCTAGATGTGATTGCTCTTTCATTTGTGATTGATTTTCATTAAGAAAATTGAAAGAACAGCTTTTACGAACACATGTGCATGGTGCATGTCTTGATGCACGTAGTTCCGTTTGACAGAAGTACGTCCAGTTGTTCCTTATGCTTTGTCCCCACGGGACGTTTCATGGAATTCGTCCCAAGTTAAAATCGTAGGAATGAAACTTCTGGGCTTTTTCCTCGTTAAACAAACCAACAAAATTTCTGCTTCTTTTCTCTGAGTAGCTCTTAGGACTCTACTCGGTCCTGTTGTTTGTATTGACTAAATCAAAATGTTCCCAACTTTGCAAGTGAGATTTTTCCCTGGGACAAATTCCAAGAAACGTTCCGTGGAGACAAAGCCTCAACAACTTCTTTCCTAGAAGGCCTCTTTGGTTCATACCGTGCCTAAGGAAGCCCTCTAAATACCATCCTAAAAAGGACATTTTTCGCCAAACTTCAAATTTATACTGCTGAATTTTACTCCGGGTTTCCAAAAATCGTCCTTTTTATGATGTTATGTTGAGGATCTCCTTGAACTTCCCTTAGTCACCATGTAAACCAAATGGGGCCGCCTCAGGGAAGGAAGCGTTTAAGGAACGACTATGAATGCGTCCCTTAAAAACTATCGCTCCTTACCCAATTGTTCGAAATTGTTCTGCACTTACTTTGAACTAACTTTACGGAATTTTTCCACACGATTTAGGAAGGGCCACATGATTTTCCCTCTTTCGAAAAAGAGACCATTTACTTTTCAAAGAAGCTCTTTGGCATATATTAAGCGGCCATGTGCGGTTATGTAATTCGTGGTTCGCTGGCACCCCTAGACCAATGATGTCCTCCTAGTATAGTTCCCGTGTATAGTTTCCCTATGATGGTGAAAAAAGGTGGAATTATGGAGGCAGAAAACAACTTTTCCCTCTAAGAAATCTTTGTAGTAGTATCGAATTTGACTTTGGGAATACTTATGTCCAACAACACTGATCATAGGCCGTAATTTAAGTTTCAGCTGCAAAAAATTCATCAAGCCACAGAAAAGTTACAGTTTTTGCAGTTCCCTGAAATTTCGAAAACTGGACCTGGTGACCTTCTGATCCTACATGCTTCGCTTTCCTCCTCATTTTTTTGCCCTCTTCTTTCTACTGACCCTCGGCCATGTTGCGATCTGACAGCGACGCGATGATAAAGTTCACCGGCGAAGACCGTTGGCGCGAATCAACATTCCGGTCCGTTCGGTTCGCGCGTGCGGGCAACACTCGATTAGGAGCCCCTAATTGTTTCTCACGCCGTGGACTTCTTCCCCTTGACTCCGATCGTCTTTAACCATCGCGCTTCCTGCTTTCTATCCATCACATTTCTTTTTTCTCACCCAGTTCTTGTTCATTACTTTGGATCATCCCGATGCCACCCACACAGTAAAAACGAGTAGGAACACACTACTCGTACAGTAAAAACTTTCGGTTTATACCATTGGATTACTATTTATTTCGGTTAAATTGACCAAATCTCGAGGTTAAAAAAATTTGAACCCCTTAAAAGCGGGAATGAACGGCTAGGATAGAACCTGGCTCAAGCCTGTGACATTTTAATGCTTTGGCTACGCGCAAGTAGCAACGAATGAAAAGAGGTGAGGTAGACTAGCTGATGGTTAGAATTGATAGTCAAACCTATAGACAAAGAAGACATAGGGAATATAGAGCGATCCTTTTGGTTGAAATGAGTGGTTCTTACAGACTAAGGGGCTAAATGATGGACTGACTACAGGGTCTCTCCTGGGTTGCTGTTAGTTATTCTATTACTTACCTCCTTTGTCCATTGCAACCACCCGCTTCAACCAATAGGATCCCTCCATATCCCTTTTGTCTTCTTTGTCTATGGATTTATCTATCAATGTCAACAATCAGCCTGCGGAGCACATTAGGTCAGCATGACACTCTAGATGTCTCCGAGTTTTGGATTCGAAGCTTTCGATTGATTTACACGAAAATTTGGCAGGTAAATCAAACACTTTAACTTGATCTACTCGGGAGGGAATTAATCAAAATTTTGCCTGTTTCAGCATTCTTTTCCTCAGAGGAGAACGCCCATATTCTAATAGTGAATATTTTATCGCGTTATTAAAATTTTGAATTTATGGCAGAAATACCACATTACGGCTGCATATTTTAATACGAATTGTCATCTCCAATTTAAGAAGTAGATACAAATTTTACAACGCAGCCCGAGACATAATAGCATGAAAAATACAAGGGGGAAAAACGGGAAACAAGGCCATAATACAACACTAAAAATATTTGTTTTCCCCCTTTCCTCTCGGATCTTGGCCACCAAGATGTAGGTCTCAGGTTCTTTCATCAATAATTTCAGGTTATTTTCCGACTGAAAATGACTCAGTTTTGAGTCGAAAAGTCTCGGGTTTTCAATTCTGTATTTTAGCCTTGTTTCCCCCTCCCCCCTGTTTTTTTCATGTTATAATTTAAGAAGCCGAGTTCAAAGTAATAGTGATCTTTTAAGTTGGAATACCTAATGATAGGTGGATGACTTGGAAGTCAAGGAAGGATCGGGGATTAGACATGAGGGACCGATGGAAGTAAGTCGGTCAGACCTGCGGTTCAGCACCGGCAACGGAGTATATTCAGCTCCGGTGGGAGATGTGCGTATTTGCCCCAGTTCAGATTTAAATAGGTCGGAAAACCACTCGCTTCTCCTGGTAGGGGCGCCGGCGTCGATGTAGTTTAAATACCCCCGTGTTTAATGATCCGGCCCGTTCAATTATCGAGAGCGAGAATATCGCACTCGCCCAAGCTCCTGTACTGTCACATATCCACGGTGAAACTGCAGAATCGCGTATCTAGGTTTGCGGCGCTGCAGATTTCCCTCCATACTCTATTCTTCTTCTTCTTCTTCTTCCTCTTCTTCTTCCTCTTCTTCCTTTTCTTCCTCTTCTTCTTCCTCTTCTTCCTCTTCTTCCTCTTCTTCTTCCTCTTCTTCTTCCACTTCTTCCTCTTCTTCTTCCACTTCTTCCTCTTCTTCTTCCTCTTCTTCTTCCTCTTCTTCTTCCTCTTCTTCTTCCTCTTCTTCTTCCTCTTCTTCCTCTTCTTCTTCCTCTTCTTCTTCTTCTTTTTTTTCTTCTTCTTCTTCTTTTTCTTCTTCTTCTTCTGTTGGTTTATTGGCTTATATTCCTTATGTGAAACCTACAGTCATCTACAGACAGAATTTCATACTTGATATTATAAGAAATGTAGGGATAAGGAAATGTTTAATAGATAGGGTAATTTGTTTCATTCAAGTCGTCACCATTTTCACGCCTAGAGACCCTTCTAGGCGACCTCCTATACCGGGATATACTGGGTCATGGAAATCATTCAAAGTGGGCATACGGTAGATTTAGGATTTATATTCTTTCTTTTTTTTGGATAAAGAGATTTTGGAAGATTAGGATATTAACTACGAACCTTTGGAAGTGGATATCGGACAGTTTTGTTAAAGAATATAACTAAGAAATAAACATTATTATAGTCATACTCTATTCTATAAATGAAATATCGACGGGGAAACTACCTGACGACGTATCTTGGTTTGCGACGACGGAGAATTCCTTTCATACTGCATGTTTTAGATGGAAAACTACTCAGAGTCAATGCTTGAAAACTGCCGTGATTTTGATTCTCTGTGTGAAGAAAAAGCTGTGAAAACTTCGAGGGTTGACAGTGGATTGTTCTCGTTCACAAAAATGAAATTGGAGCGGAGATTTTCAAACGCCGAAAACGAGATACGTGGTCTGGTAATTTCATCGTCAATATCGACGGTGAAACTACCAAACCACGTATCTCGGTTTGCGACGTCGCAGACTTCCTGTCATACTTTATTTTTTAAATGAAAAACTACTTAACGTCTAGTCTTGAAAATTTCTGTGATTTTTCCTCTTCGTGCGGAGAAAATTCTGTGAAAATTTCAAGGAATGATATTGATTTGGTCTACTTCAAAAAAATAAAATGCGAGCGTAGATTTTTAAACACCGCAAACGAGATACGTGGTTTGGTAGTTTCATCGTCGATATATTATTTAGAAGAATATAGGATACAAAAGGCCGGCTCTTATCAGAATTAGTCTAACGCTGCCTTTCACGTCGCTGTTTTCTCCTTATATTAGACTTTCTAATGGCAAACTAAGTAATTTTCTGCTTTGAAAATGTGTAAGTACCGAGGACAATTTGATCTCTTGCGCCTTTTTGTCATAAAATCCGAGAGCCGACACTTTTCAATACAGATTGGCCCAACTCTGATGGGTGAACATTTGTAGCCGTGCGTTTAAGTCTCCAGACCACGGTTTAGCAAACTATTTTCAACGTGCAAATTTAAGTTCCAATGTTGGTGATGTTACCGAATCCACTCCTTGAAGGTTGATTATATTGTTTTCTCTGAACAAAAGAGATACTCTCTGTAAAATAATTTTTCCTTTGCAGGAAAGAAAAATAAGACTGTATTACTTCTTCATAACAGAACGTTTTTTTCCCCTTTCAGAATGACAATTTGGAGGTGGCTTCCGGTTTTAGCATGTATTCCTGTTACTTTGTCTATCACCCCAAAGCCAACCAAGTCGGTGGACTCCGACGATTCCTCTCAAGTTTTGGGATCCAGGTGAGTCTATGCGTCAGATATTATGAAAAAGACTTTTTAACGTTTTGACACTTTTAACAAGGCTTCAAAGGCACGGCATCACCATTGAGCGGCGTGGGTTTTTTTTTCATATTCGAACAGAGGAATAATAAAATTTCAATTTTTGAAAAGTTAAACAGACTTATTAGATTACGATTAGTTGGGTCCGCGCGTTAAAAGCATTGAGAACATTGACTTTACATGTAGGTAGGATAAATTGCATCTCAGCAATTTGAAGGCGCCTCATGGCTTTTGTCATGATCAAGTGTGTTGTTTGCGGGTATTGAATTCATCATGCGTTAAAATTCAGCGTTTATTTTTGTAATTGTGTTCGATGGAGATTTTCTCTTCTATCACAATCATTTCATTTAGAAAATTGAATGTCATGCAAGATAGGAAAATCGTCATTTCTTTATCTAAATGACTGATGAATTTAACCGCAACTATTCGTAGTAATATGAGCAAAAGTCAAACTCTTTAGAAGAATTAGCTAGTGCTTGGAAATGAGTAAGTTTTTGACAGCTATAGCGTATGCCTTGATAAAATAATTTATTGTTGTTCGTTTTATGTTTTAGCGTTGTCACTTCCGTATCAGTAATCATGGACCATGGGAACGGAACAAAAACGATATTTCCGGAGATTCCTGGTCAAGTTCAGCCACGACCGAATATCGTTGGGAGTCCTGGCAACATGCTGGAGCCTGATCGCTACGAGTTTTACACGTTTGACGAAACAGGAGATTTGGTCAAGAGACTTATGACTCTTGAGGAGATACAAGGCCTAATCGCCGGCGGGGATAGCGAGGGTATCGTTGGCGAAGCTTCTGCTCCGACTTATTATCACGAGAGCATGGCAGCGCTGCCGGACGAGCAAACCCATATTGCCGCAAACGATTTCGACTCGTCGTCCAACAGCCAAGGTGTTCACAAAGTGGTCGAGAGCGTCCAGAACGTCCTCAAATCAGAGTTAGCTGCTACTCAATCGAAACCTTATCCAAAACCCATGATGGATCTTCATCCTAATCCAGAATGGAGCATTCTTTTGCCTGGATTACTTGGAGATAATTCGGATGAGTCTCTGCCACCCTCAGATATTAATCATTTAGGAGATCTATCTTCCATGGCCTCGGAAAATAGCTATTATCAATCCACACCGAACTCGGTTTCCGAAAATTTTGACTCGAACGATGACAAGTACCAGAAGACGCAGCAAACGATTATTCATTACATCCCGATCGAGAACGTGCCCATAAAATCTTCAGGAAAAAAACCGGGTAAGGTGCCTGTGTCGTCAACTACTACTAAAATTAACGAGATAAAGTCTCCAATGGTCTCCACAGAAAAATATTCCCAAAATTCTCCAACTACAATTAAATACGGCTCCTCTTCAACGACAGAAAAATATATATATCCACCGAGCACAACTTTTGGCAAGTACAGTTATGCCAGCTCTTCTAATACAGAAAAACCAACTTCTTCCCATCATTCTTTAGAAAAGTTGAACTACTCTAGTCCGCCGAACTCTTTGAACGATAAATTGAGCTACTCTAGCACGTCCACCTTTTCGAATGATAAATATAACCATCCCAGCGTCTCCAACGCTTTAAACGAGAAAGAAACACAGTCTACGTCGTCAAACTTTTATAATGAGAAGATGAGTTACTCAAATCCACCGAGCACTATTAATGATCGATTCATATCCTCTAGTTCAACTTCAGATAAGAATAAAAACCATATTTCACATTCAACCGAGAAAATACAACACCTGACTCCGAGCACAGAACAATATTTTTACACCGGCCCGAGCACAGAGAAAAAATACTTTTCAAATTACCAGACGCCTACCACTGAGAAACTTCATTATTCAAGTTATACAACTGATAAGCAGCACGCCCCCACAGGAACTACAGAAAATAAGTATTTCTCATCCCTTAGTTCTCCTAGTTCCTTAGTGGAAAGTAATGGACAACCTAATTTATCTACTGAGGGAAGTTATGTCACAATATCAACTTCAGAAAAGCACTATTTGACAAACTCAATTAAAGATAAAATAAAAAATTCAACGCCGAGCCCCGATAAAACTTCGCAATCCACGCAAAACACAAACACACACTCAAGTTCGACAAATAATAAATACACGCCTTTTGGACACAGTTCAGAAAAACCAATGCATCAGTCACAAAATACCGATAGAAATAATTACGTGATGCACAGCACTGAAAAATACGTGCATACGCTCTCAAATTCAAATAAATTTGACCATGCACCTTTATCCTCCATCAAAACAGAGCTAGTTAGTTCCACAGAAAAGTTCAGTCCTGTCTCCTTTTCTGCAAAACCATCTTCGACGACAAACAAATACTATACGACACCAAAACCGGAGTATCCTTCTTTCAGCTCTGAAAAATTACAAGCCATACATAACTCATCGCCGAGTTTCTATTACATGAAAGAATCAACTGCATCACCCTCAGTCACATCGACAACTTATTCTACTCCATTTAAAACACAATCTATCTCTTTGAACGATGAAATGGCTGCTTCATTATCAGATGTTATTTCTCAAATGACTGCTCAACCTTCCAGTGTCACGAATCACCTCTCGACGATTTTAGTTCCGACAACATCTAAAACGTCCATTCAGTACCACTCGAGCTCAAATAAGCAACCAGATAAGTATGCTACTAAATTCGCCTCTCACACGACACCGATGGTAACAGCAGCACCGATCTCGCACAGTACAACAACCGCTCAACCATATTTCACAAAAACCACCACTTATAATAAACTTTCAACGTTCAACAATTTCACCAAAATAAAGCCAATGTTCACGACCTCTAATAGAATTAATCCATCTACCACTCATTCTCAGTTCCAAAATAAGGTCTCTTCTCCTTACCCATCAACCATCGATCAAACGAGAAAGCAACCCTCGTCAACGAATAAAATCGCTACAAATGATGTACCATTCTCATCCAGCTCAAATAGGATTGTGCAATACAATTATTCTGCAGACTTTAGAAATAATCCTACGACAATATCTGCCGCGACGTCATCACCGTCTGTTTCTACCGGTGCCACAGCCAGCTCCTCAAGAAAACCAGCATCATCTACCACAGAAGCACCAACAGTGATCATAGCCGCTACCACTACGTCATCAACTACAACATCAACCACCACAACAACTGCACCTCCCAAGACAAATGTGATGACTTCACCAGTAACGACTCCATCGAAGCCTAGTGTCTCTTATAAGAAACCCTCGGTTCCACTAACGAAAATTGCTGTATCAACAACTGCTCCTACCTCAGCTCAGCAGCAGTCTTTGAAAACGAACTCTGCCTCGACCTCCATATCATCGACTCCAACCACCCGGCCATCAGAGTCAGGGTCAACTTTGGACTTAAAAAACAAACATGGAAGTCAAAATTCAACGCAACAGAAAGTAGAAACCTCTTACACAAAACTTCCGACTTTATCAAAAGTAACTGAGAAACCAGTGCTACGGCCTATAGTTTTGAATAAAACCTCCAACACAACGGCTGTGCGAGACTCGGCGTCACATGCACCGATTCGGGTGACTCCAAGACCCTCCACTAGTCAACAAAAACCAACAATAACGACTAATACAACACCAGTCACAACCAAAGCGGCTGCAACAACAACAACAACAACTACATTGGGCACAACCACGGGCAGTACAACGACGACTACGACACCGGTGCCACCTACAACTACATACGCACCCACCACATCGACGACAACAACAACAACGACAACCAGCACCACCACTACCACGCAGAGACCATCACTCGAAACAGCACCACCGACCAAATTCTCTCCTCAGTATACATACAAATATCCAGTCAAAAAGCCAGGCGGATCTTTGCATGGTCCATACTACTATCCCACAACACCGCTACAACTCAAACATGCAGCAGCTCAGCTTGCAGCGGCACACAACAATTCTCTTAAGATGAACCTGACCAGTCACCCTCCATTAGAGCGCGTTCCTTTCCCAACAAATATATTTAAACAAGGAGGTTCATCACCAATGTATATGTCTACGGCAATGTTCAGGAATGCCACGAATAGGACGCCAGGCCTGTCGACATCTGTTAATTCTTTCAGCTCTCCTAACACAACGACCTCGTACCAAAATACACCTTCCACATATTCCATCCGTCCCTCGTTGCAAAATTACACATCAAGCGTTTTAATGTCAAGCCAAAGATACTCAAATAAAGAACCCGCAACAACCACCGAAATTCCCCAGTTATCTAAGATCACCACTGCGGCGCAATTTATCTCGAACGGTCATCAAAACTACATAACGAAACCCCCACCAAGTTCATCAACCCTCGGAAGTCTGAAAAACACTTCAAGTTCTCAAAGTTTCCAGAAAGTTTCGGTGCAAGACCATATACCAACTTCAACCCCCTCGTATAAGAATGCAGGATTGCAAAAGATTTCATCCGATACCACCCAGCGTTTCCGACCTACTCAAATGAAACTGTCTTCTAATAGTCAATTTTTGTCTAATAAGAGTCCTTCAACACACAGTGTTTCAACTGATGCCTTGAAAGGAGAGTCCCGGCCCAGGATTCCCTCGACAACCACGAGTAGGTTTGAAGAATATATTCCGGTACAAACACAACAACATACCACGTCTTACCGCCATTCAACATCCGCGACTCCATCCACCGCAACAACCTCGAAGTTGATGTCGGATCAAAGCACAGAGAAAATCAGTTCTCACGGTCAAATATTCACGGGAACCTTCAGCTCAATAGACGATGCCGTGAAAAAGCTCTCGACACTCAGTCTAAAGCATGACCCTATGAGTGACGCTCTCAGCAGTACAATTTATACGTCAACTGCTGCCACTACCGAAAAGAGCACGATTGCATCTTCTCCAGAGAAAACCTCATCTTTGAAAAGCACACAGGTCACAATGGATGACCCAGTGACGGACAAGGTTGAAATTAAACCAACCACCAATTCCTCCATAGACGATCACATCCAAGATGGAATCTCGGCGGTAACAAACATTCTTTTACAAAGCAAAGGCCCTGACTCCCATTTAACAAATTCAACAACTCTCAACAGAGATTTAGTTCAGGCGTTAGAGGAGGGTGCCTTACTTATGCCGAACGCTGTTCTAGGAGAGATGAAGCACTCTGGATCGATAGAATCTCAAATCGTCAGTAATATTACTGACGAGTCGGAAACTGAAAGAACGGCCGGAGAAGTTATGGACAGCACCGAAGGAGTAATATACACCACGATCTTGGACAGTCTCACAACCATGGGTTCCAAAAAAGAGACAGACTCCAAAGAAAACTGGCTGTCGGATAGCTCAAACCTGGAGAGCGTCGAAATCATCGAACAAAAAAGTGAATCAGTAGCTAAGTCAAGTGACGATAATAATTTAGAGTCAGAAGGACTAACAACAACAGCCGAGTACAATGAGCCGGTCACCGAGACGACGAAAAAAGATTTTATCTCCGAGACTACTACGATTCCCGAAGCAGAGGAATCGTATGCAGAGGTAACAACCATCCCTCCCAACCTCGATGATGGTTTAAATAAATTTAGAACAGAACTGTTGGACAAGGATGATACCAAGACGACAATCAAGGAACCTGAAGTCACAACTACTAGCACGACGGTCACGACCTCAGCTCCAGTGGTTCCATCTACCAAAGTTACAACGGAGCCCAGTACAACCACTTCAACCACAACTACCACTGCGAGTCCTGTGCCAGCGAAAGAACCTGTGAACGATTTTGTCTCCGAGAAAACAGCATCGAGGCCCGTTGTGAAACCAACTTTCAGCGCGGTGCCAAGCATCCCGAAGATTCCAGGTCCTGGGGCGTACCGCCCTATCACGCCACCTACAGCGGTCGAACTGCACCCTGCTCCTCATGAGAGTATGGGATTGGAGGCGAGCATAGCTTTCTTAGGAGATGATGTTAGACGCTTCTCTGACCTATGCAATGAGCTATCGTTCCGCATGTGGACTTCAATCACGGGCAAAGGCATGATTTCATCGAGAAGTTTGGTTTTGTCGCCGTTTGCTGTGACTTCAATGCTGGCCATGGTGTTCCTCGGTGCTAGGGGCTCAACCTCTGGCCAAATGAATGATGTTCTAAGATTGGATGATATGGTCACATTCAACCCTCACCAAGTACTCCAGAATATAACTGAGTCGGTCATCAACTCTAGAAACATTGGGAGTTCAACGGCAGCATTTGTGCGAGAGTTGTACAGTGATAAGGTAAGTTTCTTCTCCCCGCCCTTTCATCTTCTGAAGTTCAACATTTTATTATCTTATTATATCGGGAGCATATTTTTGATACACCTTTATTTTCGCCGAAGTAACTGGTTTGATAATGAATCACATTTTTGGAACATTTTATTCCTTCGGATTTAGTTTTAAACAATATCTATTGGAATTTTTCCTGCTTTTTTCCAGAATACTTGTGAAAATGTAAAAGAATAACATTTAATTGGCTCCCTATGGAAATCTTAAACATTACCGGATATTGTGAAATGTGATGATCAAGATACTTAATGATAAAATAGACTAGCGTATAAACTTGCATTATATTGATTTTCTTTATTTGGAGAGGTCTTTTACAGTTTTTAACATTTTCGTGAATAACAAGTAAACACCCTTATCTCTAGTCTTCAATGGCTCAATATTAGTTTCAATCATTCTTTCTACAAAGAGTCTCCAATTTTCTTACTCTTCGTTCCAGAAATTTTTTCTCATATTCTTTTAATTATGGGAGAGATACTGTCTCATTTGCCTTGTTGGGTTAGTCATTTTTACTTATGACACCTTACTGAAATAAGAAAAACAACACATTCAGCTCAAAAAATCTCACAAAGAAACTAAAAACTTAAAAATATGTTTTACGCTTCGTTGGAAAAATTGCCTTCGCTGCTGCGGACTGGCCGGTCTAAAGATTGAGAACTACGCCAACGGGGTCATTCAGTTGCACCATACACTAACTGACGGATGTCCCCCACTAACAGATTTACGGCAAATATTTCTCTAGATTTTTACGAAATTTAAAAGTATTAAAATAAAAACCAATTCAATTTATAAGAATTCACAGGTCACGAGAATCAAGTTTACAATTACTTTTTTTCTATTCATTTTAGGGCTTTTGATAAAAATGATATGTTTTTTTTAACAAATGCGGTATCCGAGAAAATAAAACAGTAATAACAGAAATTTGTTTAATCGAGAGAGAGATGTGTGAAACAAACAGAAAGGGGATAGTTCTCGGCGAAATATCCATCTTTGTTCAGAAATAATTTCAAAAGTTGTATGAAATTTGTTGATCAATCGGAGAGCGGCACTTTTTTAAGTAAAACGATTGAGATGACAATAGTTCCTCTACACGTACTCATTTATTCAGATGCTACAACTGACAACTCCCATGCAATGATGAAGAGGTAAGAAAAGCCAAAGTGCCTTCAATTTTGAACACGCAACACGCATGTTCGTGGAACACGAATAGTTGCATCAAGGCGCCGCGCGGTTGCGAACTCACTGTCAGTGTAGTATTCGTAGTTGAGATAATCGCCGATTTGAATCGGTGATTCTGAAAAATACGTAAACGCCAGAATTTTAAATACGAGAAAAACAATAAAAAAAAGTATAATCGATCCGTTCTAAGTTTCAGAGCTCTGGAACATTAAAGCGATTAATTAATTAATCACATTACTTTATAATCTATTATTCAAAACGAGTCAATTATCACAGTTTCTAATGTATTTATGGCGTTTTCGTTTCTGGCGTTTAAGTCTTTTCAAGAATGGCCAATTCGATTTTTGGCCGTAGATGCTCTGGTCTCGTGTCACTAACTGGTAATACTCTCCCTAAGTATGTACTTTGTCATTAGATTACTACAGCTGACAAGTCTCGTGGATCTCTGCTCTGAATAAGAAGTGAGGAGAGCGAAAGTGCCTTCAATTTTTTAGTATGCAATACGTACATCCGTGGAACACGAATAGTTGCATTAAGGCGCCTCTGTCAACTCAATCTAGTCTTGTAAAGCGGAATAACGCCTCTAATTGATGAATATGCATCACGCACATCCACGATACGCAAAGTATAAGCATTTAAAAAACTCGAAAAGTATGAAGAACTTTTCAGAAAAATACAAAAATAAGTTGTAAAATGGATTTACGTAGCCTATAGATTGTTTTGATACTTTTTTGAATCGTTCAAAATCTCGTAATTAAATCGTCAAAAGTCGGTCAGTGGAGGACATTCATCGATTAGCTTATGGATTGCATTCCAAATTAATTACCGGCACCAACAAATTTTTAGACTTTTGACCAATCACTCCGCGGACTTGCTGACCAATTCACGAAATAGGCAAGAGCCTTGGTCAGTTTGCGGACCGGCCAACGAGGATGGACGGGACAAAAAAGTAGCCCGGTCTCCGTACTGGGCAATTTCGCCAACGGGGTGTAACGTACGCATTAACCTTTACCTGGGTACCATGAAATTTTTCAATCCTTGAACATATTTTTACACATACCATTCCAACAATTTTTAGATATTTTGTTTTGTTTCTCGGTAAGCTCCTCTGAGATAAAAACAACTGCTCTTCATTGAAACAAATGTTAGGGCCCTTGAAATTGAATTTTTTACAAGCTTTGAGGACGAGGAGTAGGAGCTATTCCGATGACCCAACTCTCAACCTAGAGGATTAAAATTTGATTATGCAGTGCTCTCTCTTAGACAGGTAGCAAATGCTCTGTCTATCTTACCTTTCGAAACAGTCCATCTAACTCACAGCAATGATCTTGTAAAAACTTTCAAGCATGATTAAAGACCCTGTAAGTGATATTGTTTTTTTTTTCTTTCCTTGTAGAGCAAAGGAAAAATACTTGAATTTTACAAAGAGCGGGCGCAGCAATACTATGACGGTCATGTAGAGGAAGTCAACTTTTCTACAATCGGTGACGTGTTGAGGCGGCGAACAAATCTTTTGATTAAACGCCAAACTCTAGGTCGTATTCCCGAATACCTTCGAGGGTCCAGTCTCAACTTGAAACCGCCAATGGCAGCCTTCGCAGCGAACATATTCCAGGTAATTTCAGCTATATTTGTGATTTTTAAAACTATGAAAGCAACCTCATACATGTAATTACGTAAATAAAGTTGGAAAGAGCCTAGTGCTAGAAAAAACCTTTGGATCGTTCCTTACAGGTAGAGAGTATTTTAAGGAAGCTCTTTTTAGTTTTTCAGCACTCTTTAGTTTTTTTCAGCGCTTCGCGCTTGCACGTTTCGCGTTGCTCTTATGATTTTATTTTTGGACGTACCTTTTTATGCTGAAAGGAACTATGTCACACACAATCCCTATGCACATAGTTCCTTTTAGCAGAAATACGTTCATTTCAGAGTCTGATGCGAAAATAACTTCGCTGAGCATCGACATTTTGTCACTCTCCTGACGTAAGAGCGTATCTCAATTGGACGTCTTTATGCTAAAAGGTACTATGTGCATGGGGTTCCCATGAGACATAGTTCCTTTTGGCACAAATACGTTCAATTTCCATGTGAGCCCTGTCTTACGTATAAATCCATGCTTTCTGAGACTCATTTGGAAATCGAGGTACACCCTCACGTTGGAGGAGCGACGATTTCTGGTTCTTTCAAAACAAAGGGATGATTATTAAAAATGCGAAAACGTAGGACACGATTTTTAGAACGAAACTAACTGAAAGTAACTCTTAACAAAGATATGAACGTTTTGTGATGAAAAAATTCAAACTTCCCGATCATTAAAAAAACCATAATAACTCAAGTTGAATTGCACACTAAAGGTAATTGTGGCCTTTGCAGTATGAAAATATGACACCCCGATTTCTGCAATTCGACCCAGCTATCGCACATTTTACTCTATGAACAACTTGGGGTGGGAAAAGAAAACCAACTCTCTCTTATAGAGCAACCGGTGCGCGATTCGGGTAGACTCTAGTTTTTCACGTGAGCGGGTAATTCAAATTTTTCGTAACCAGTGATAAAAACGTTGATATCTTGATTAGGAATCAAATTCAGTGGTTTTCGTTGCGAAAATCGTCTCCTACGTGGAATATGAAGAGGTAACATGTAGACTTCATTTTGCAATTAGAAATCACTATATCTAGCTCAACCGCAAAAGCACTTATGTGCAAAGGGAAACTAATGGTACTATAGGTTATAGGACATTTCGTCAACGATTTATTGCCCGCGCACCTGTTTTTTCCAGTAATTTACGTCCACGCGTTTTTTCGGCACAGGAGTTTTGGTCCACGTGCCAGTTGAGACCCAAAGTTACTTGGCCCACATGTAAATACAAACGACAATTGCTCACGACTTTTTTGGATGAAAGTATAAAATGTCTTGGAAGAATGAGGGTTTGCTTGTTTTTTTGTTTTGTCTGTTTGGTCCAACGGAGAATAATATATAGTTGAGAGTTTTGGTAAAAATGGGGGAGCGTCAGTTCCATGAGACAAATTTCACTGAAACTCTCTACACCTCTTTGATGTTCTTAATTATCTTTCAAGAAATTCCCAGCTTGTTATACCTGAACCGGATAAACCTCTATATTTGCCTCAGCTAAAGGCTCTTAGATTTTTCCTGAGTAAGATAAGTATCTTGATTTATTTTGCGAGGAAAGATCTGTACTTTTAAAGAATGCCTGTCATTCTTAATACGTTCAATTTCGTATAATACTGTGCAACACCTCTGTTGTGACATAGTTGCTTCAGGCGCCGCCGCACGGCGGTCGGGCGGCCAGCGCCAAACGTGCATTGGCGCCTACAAACCTAAGTGGATACTTCAAGCATTGTGCAATGCGTGAAGTATCCACTTAGGTTTGTAGGCGCCAGTGAGCCTCTCGCGCTGGCAGCACGCTGCTCCGCTCTGTTCGGCTTTAATATTTATACTTGCATAGTCAGCGTTTTTTAACTCATGATTTTGAAATGTTAGCACACTCTGCATTGATTATTCTCATTTAAATTGATGGGAAAACATATGTATCAATTTATAAAGGATAATAATCATATATGTGTTTTTTTAAATATTGGTGGTTCCGTGTCAAATTTAATGATTTCCAAAGCACTTTAATTCTTTTCTTTTACATTTTGTGCTTTCCCCATCTTTCCACTTGCACATAGTTCCTTTTAGCAGAAATACGTCCGCACTGGAAAAAAAACACATTGGATCTAGAGTTCAGACTCTTGAAAACATTGACAAGAAAAAGGTCCCTTGATTCAATCAGATTTAAGCTTAAATCAAAAGGAAATCCGCTCAAATTAAGAGGCTTGGCTCTTGATTTAAGTTTAAATCTGATTGAATCAAGAGTATTTTTTCTTGTCGAGGTTCTAAGAGTCTGGACTCTAGATCCAATGTGTTTTTTTTCCAGTGCACTTGAAATCACGAATATCTCAATTTTTCAAAATCCTCACTTATGCCCCTCGTCATCCAAGCCCCTCATTTGGTATTTCTTTTTGCAGACGGACTGCGATCTCGCATCGACGGACGGCCGAGACGGGGAGATGTACTTCGTGGTGAGACCCTCGACGCGGCAGAGGCGGCTGGTCCCGGTGCCGGCGGCGGTGTGGAGGAGCGGATTTTTGGCCGGCTACGAGCCCGGCCTGGACGCCACGGCCGTCTCCATCGGATCCGACTCCGTCGTGAGCACCATCTTCGTGCTCCCCGGTCAGCAGGGACAGGTGGCCCCCGGCGACGGGTTGGCCCGCCTGGAGCAGCGCCTCATCGAGACCTCGTACAGGCGGGGCGGCTGGTCTCGCCTCCTCAGGAGTCTCCTCTTGAGGCCCGGCCTCGAGATCCAGCTCCCCAGATTCTCGCACAGATCCGTCCTCAATGTCACGTCGGCCCTCCAGCGGATGGGCCTCAAGGACATCTTCGACTCGGAGAAAGCGGACCTCAGAGGGCTCAACGGCTACACCAACGATCTCTACCTGTCCGATATGGTGCAAGTCAACACTTTCAGCACTTGCGGCGAGGACGCTGCCGGGGCGCGACACCACGTCGAGACTTATCCCTCGTCCCCGCAGAGGGTCGGTAGAGAGGACCCGGAAGTCTACCCCATCCCGGATGATCTGGACCACGATATTTACTCGCACTTGCCGCTGAATCTGCGGCCGAGACAAGCCAGGCTTCCGGATAACCCGAGGCTCCGTTTCGATAGGCCCTTCTTGTACTTCGTTCGTCACAACCCCACAGGGATGATCCTCCATGTCGGTCGTTTCAACCCTCGACTCTTGCCTTAGTCCTATTGAGATCTCTAATTACTGGAAAAAACGACGCATTCCAAGGCCTTGTTTAGTTCATGACGTTTTTCACCCCAAAAAAGGACCGAGAATAGGTAGCACGTAAGACAGATTCTGGTGACTCCCTAGGTTTCAGCAGAAACCCGAAATTTTGCAGTGCGACTAAAGCCGGCCGATGTGGAATAAGTGGTGATTATTTTTTTGTGATCGGTTTGACTGACGTAAAAAATTTTTCTCATTGCGCGACCCAATGTCAAAAATTTGGTAACTGTCACAAAGTACCTTGGTTTAACTGATTGCATCTATAAGCGTGACTGTGTTATCTGAGGGTACGAGAGTATGCTCTTGTATGAATGAGTGTACATATTTACATGTATACGTACTTATAAATATTTATTTCCTCTTAGCCACTGTATGTTCATATGTACTCGATTTAAAGTTCCTCCTTAAATTGTAAGGCATTCATGGCATGAATGTTGCAGGTTTTTACCTACTTTATTTCTATTTTTACTAAGCTCTCGTATTCGTATGGTTAAATTTATGTTTATTTATTTTTGTTTTTAAGCTCCTTCTTTGTTTTCCCAGCTCTCTGAAATTATTGTTGCAAAAACTGATAACTGTTCCTACCTGGCTCAGAACCAAAACTATAACGCAATTTACGATTTTCGGGAAATTGGAAAGTCATGATTTTTACTATTCAAGACTATTTAAGAATTTAGTTTCAAAAATATATGTTTGAGCAAAGATTTCATGACTAAATGGTTTGTAAGCCAAAGATTTTAACAGGAAACTGCCAAATTTAGGTGTTTAAAATAGTTGTATTTATTTTTGGAATTAGACTTTTTCAAATAAACTTGTGATTGACTCTTGTCTTATAATATTAAGCGATGTATCTATTTAACTTTATTTTCATTTTTCATTTCATTTATTTATTTATTCATCGTGTGCCGGTGAATTATGTACATTTCTCGGATGGAAAACCATGACATCTCTAGAAAATAAATACGAAGTGGAGTAAGTAAAGAGAAATACTCGGTTATTTCGAGCAGTTCCTTTACTTGTGATTTGAAAAACACCAAAAAATATAAAATTTGAATTCCTTTGAATTTTAGCCGCAATATGAGTTGTGCGAGCACCAATAGAGGTAATTCTGAAGTATCAAAACTATAAGATTTGTTCAGACAGAAAATACCCAATTTTTACGTACATACATTCGAGTCGCTTTACAGCGCGCCCGGGCGCTCTGCGACACCTAATCGCCATCCTTGCCTATCGATCCAGAGGTCATCTGGTAAATGGCATCTTGTGATTTCACCCAATTTTTATTGATATCTTATTTCAGACGTTATTTATTCTTCAATATGCTCGTGCTACTTTGCCTGTATTTTCTTGTAAGTATATGGCTTGGCTCCTTCTCACTGATTGTCTCTACGAATAATTTCTTTTTTAATAACAGCTGGAGATTTTGCTAACACTTCGAAAGTCTGAGAAAATGTTGATTCTCCCAGAATGTTAATTGCCTAGTCTCATATGAATATGACGCTAGTCTGGCAATTTAAACGTCTCATTATTTCAATTATAACTTTTATTTTTTCATGAATATACTGATAGAAAATATTTGATTCAACAATGTGATGTATTACTGGGTAAAAATTTCGTATAACTCAAGTGCGATTGCAGTCAAATTATTATGACATTTTCCTCTACTTTTATCGCAACAGCAAAGAACCCTACAACAAAACGGCCAAATCGGCCCAAACACGGAATCCTACGATTTTCTCAGGGATGAAAGAAGGATCTTTCCGGACACTCAAAACTGGTCATACTTGGGAAGACTCTTTCATCCCTGAGAAAATCGTAGGATTCCGTGTTTAGGCCGATTTGGCCGTTTTGTTGTAGGGTTCTTTGTTTAAGAGGCATTTTACGTCAGGATTTTGTAACTCATCAATTAATGCGAAGAATGAATTTTAATGGTACTGATGTAAACGTACATTTCCATTCTGACTGACTGGAAAAAAGGATAAGAAAAATTGTTTGCCTTAGAATTATTTTCTTTGTACGTTAGGCCCTCTAACGAATCGTCTGATGGTGTCTATCAAGAACTTACTTATTGATGATGTAAGCAGAAAAACACGTATCTCGATTGCAGTGTAGTGAAATTTGCCTAACTTTATGTCCCAGTAGAAAAAAGGAACTAAAATATTGGAAAAGATCCATAAAAATTTTACATGCGTAAAAACTGTAAATTAGATTTTCAACTGCTCCAAAAGAAATGATTGAAATCTTGCGGATTAGGAAGGGTTAAATTATTTGCCTGAATATAAATTTTTGGTTTAAAGTTTGCTGCATCGCAAATCGAGTTACTTGATTTTCAATTTTCACCATGAAAGTGACGATATTTTATAAAAATTGTAAATGTGATGAAATATAGGTAATAAAAGCTGTCAGTTAAAATAAAGATTGATATTTTGAATTCTATCGTCTCGGAAAGTGAATAGTGGAAATTCAAAACATGGTAAAGGCTATCAGGTGTTTTTAAGATTGTGCATAGTCTTCAGCATTATAAATTACCGGAAGAAGAAATGACCTCGTCTTATGAACTTATTATTAAAAAATGTTCTCTAAATTATAATCTTATTTTCATGACATGAGTTTCTTTTCTCAAGTCGCTGCATTCCTGTTGAATAAGAGAAACCGTCGCATTATTATAGCAACACCCGATGGCAATTACCAGGTTTGAATTTCCAATCCTCAAGTCAACTACATTTTGCAATTAGGAACTACTATTCCTGGTGCATTTTAGAAAAAAATACACGTGCCATAGTTTCCCCATGCAGATACATGCTTTTATGAATCAGTCAGAAATAGTTGTTACCCTTATTGCAAAATCAAGTCTGAAATTCCTATTAAATGAAGCTGCGGCATACACTTTCAAAGGCAATCACCCATTCGAGTTGGTTTTTATTTCTTTCTCCTCTTTGAATGATCAAGTACCTGGTTTTTCTTCTCTTACTTCTTCTCGAAGGTAAACATGACGGAAACAATTGAAAGGTATAAAAGGGGTAAACATTTTTGAGGCTGAAATGATTTGATATTCTCATTTATCATTTGTTCTACGAGCATGGACATTTAAGTGAATGTATAGAGAACTTAATGTCCAAATGGTTAAGAAAAAATAAATAAACGAAAGTATTTACATCATTGGAAATAAATATATTTACACGAAAAGATAATTACGTTTCAGATCACAGCTTAGAGAATTTGTCATTTCAGAGTATTCAATTCTATCACATAATACTCACAGTCGGCCAGAATGATAATTTTTCAGAAAGAGATACCTACAATCTAGATTGCAACTTTGGGTNGGGGGGGGGGGGGGGGGGGTTCGTTACACTCGTATGCAAAGGTAATTTAAACAAACACGTCATCTCTCAATATGGCCGAGATATTTTCAATTCTATAAATAATATTTAAAGAATCTATTTAAGTGATTGATGATTTACAAGGTTACAATGGTTTTACAAGTGCGTTTTGATGCGACGCAAGGATGATAGCATTTTAAAAATGAAAAATTATTTGGAAAGAAAAGCTTTAAACTGTTGCTTAAATTCATTGTTAACCCTAAAATCACAGAAGCCAAAGTACGCAGCCCTTCGGTCAAGGATATAAAAAATCAGGAAAGGCGGGTCGATCTGGAGCAATATATACAATATACTGGAGAAGGAGATAGGAGGGGGGGGAGCAGTGTGTTCAACAAGTGATTCAAGACTTACATAGACGCTATGAAACTTACTGTAGAGATTGTGTCATGGATTTAACGTGACCCGGGAAAACAATCCAGGCCTCAATAGAAAATTTTTTAAGAGAGGTCATTATCGTATTCATTTTTACGTACTCACAGCACAGACGAAGAATCGTAGTTTCAAAACTGTGTAATTCAGTGCACACTCAACTTGTTGAAAACGATCGCTCATTTAAAACACCAGGACATACTCACGAATGCGATTTTACACTCACACGCGAATCGGAATAACTCGGAAAATAAATAATGTGGATGTTGTCACGAACCATTTTTTGGCGGTGCGTTTAAATAGGCGAGAAATACGAGGGTTCCGAGGTCAATTTCGAGGCAGGGAAAGAACTCGCGGGGGGTCAAAGTTCACAGTTGACGCAGAACTCGTCGCAGGAGCCGATGGACTCGGCGGTTTTGTCGAAGCTCCAAACATCGAGGGCTCCATGGCTGGGGGTGAGAAATACGAGCGTTCCGAGGTCAATTTCGAGGCGGGGAAAGAACTCGCGGGGGGTCAAAGCTCACAGTTGACACAGAACTCGTCGCAGGAGCCGATGGACTCGGCGGTTTTGTCGAAGCTCCAAACGTCGAGGGCCCCGTGGCTGGGGGTGCCCGGGTAGAGCTGGATGCTCCGGCCGGTGCACTCGCGGGCGTCGTAGAGGACGAGACAAGTGCCCCACGTGTTGATGGAGGAGATGAGCCGGGTGAAGTTGTCGGGGACGTTGGAGCAGCCCCCGTTGGAGAGGACCATGCTGTTGCCTTTGAAGGAGGGCTCGTCGAAGATGGTCGCGTACCAGGAGAGCCCTTGCCCGGCGATCGCCGCAAGGAGGAGCGGCACGAGGTAGAGACGCGCGTGGCTCATGATCACTTTGACGCAAAGTCGCCAACTGACGGATGATTTCCCCGTTTCCCGGCTCATCGGCTCACCAAACTCGTTCTCGCACTCGTTTGCATGGCAGCGGCCAAGGTCGGAAACCATTTGAGTCGCATGCCGGGTAATCCCGCGGTGGCGATGCCAACTTTCAGCGCCGCCACATCTTCCTCGAAAACTTAATTTACGTGTACACTGGAAAAAAAAACACATTGGAGCTAGAGTCCAGACTCTTAAGAACATCGACAAGAAAAAGTGCTCTAGATTCAATCAGAATCTAGCCGAAATCAAGAACCAAGCCTCTCAATTTGAGCGGATTTCGTTTTGATTCAAGCAAAAATCCGATTGAATCACGAGTATTTTTTCTTGTCAATTTTTTCAAGAGTCTGGACTCTAGATCCAATGTGTTTTTTTTCCCAGTGTATAGTGCTTCCACCAGCAGTGTTCGAAACTCACAGGCGCCAACGCGCCAAATACGCCTAAGAAATTTGACATGGCGCTTAAAAAAGAAGGTTCTGCGCCAGCGTGGCCCCTAAAAATTTACCCTCCCCTTCAAAAAATATCCTATTTTTTCTGTTCGATGATTTTTTTAAATTTGGACGCACGGCACCGGATTCTAACTTTTCACTAACTGTGCCGTAATATATAGGCAAAAAGTCAATTTGGCCCTTGAAAAATCTTCAATGGCCCATAAAAATCGAGCTTGATGGGCCACATTTATTTATTTATTTATTTTTACAAAAAGAAAATTACAAAAATAATCACACTTAAACTGGCAAGACCCTCCAGTAAGCAATGCTGCTTGTGTGGAGGGCTGCATACATGGCTCCTGACTCTCAAAGGTGATTTTCAAACACTGGCCACCGGAAAGGTGCATCAAGTTCTGCCGCAGCACCAAAGAAAGCAACACGGAGAAGCAAGTCTGCGACCGAAACACAAGACGGTTTGGCCAATTATTGGCGTTTCCTAACTCTCGTTGAGAGATTGTTACCTGAAAATTTCAAGGAAAAGCATTCATAACTTTCTTCGAAAAGAAAATTTCAATCGGGGGAAATTTGACAACACTCAAATGCTCATACGGCGTGGCATGGCTCCTCAGTGCAGCGGCATAGATATCTTATCGAATAAATATCCTGCATGCAGTGAGAATTTTCAATCAAACTGTATGATTCAACTTGAGGAAAGATGAAACGCAAGAAAGTTGTCACTGGTCCTCTCTGAAATCAACTCCTAAGAGTTCCAGTCTAAGAAAAAAACCGCTTACCGTTAAGATTGTAAAATAAGCACCCACGTCCTTAAACAGAGTGTCCACCCTTCAAAGACTCATCAAAGACTATTCGTGCCTCGATGGGGCCGAAAACATTGACAGGGTTGATACTTTATGTGGACATAAAAGTGGCGATATGTAAAGTTTTTGCCCGCAAGTATAAGAACCCAACTGGCAATGTATTTAGCCTAATCTATGAATGAAGAATTGATAATGAAGGTAAGCTCCGATAGGGCAGGGATCCTAACCCCACCACCACCTTAACTTTGATCATATTTTGGGGGCTTAGGAATTTATTTTAAATGGAATCAATGGCACTATCATTTTCCTCGGGAAATTTTTCACGGGAATAGGTGGTTGAGTTAAAAATCGCCGCTGTACTGAAAGCAAGGGGTCCATTCCGCGAATCGAGTAGATTTAAATGGTGTCGTGTGGTGAGAAATTAGGAGCTTCTCTTTCCGACAACTGCACACCTTATTCCTGAAAGAGTTGGCTTTCATATTGGACGTCGCGTCGGGGGCGGACTGGTTAGGGAAGCTACAGGAGCGATCACTTCCTAAAAATCTGCTGCGCGGCTCCGAAGAAGCCCTCACGGTGATTTTTCTCAGATTATTACTTATTTCTCCGTATTTCTATTACTTTTGAATCCTCCTTAGTCTCTTTAAAGCCTCATAGTTCTTAAAATGTGTATGTAAGAAACCTAAAGAATACGCAAGGATATCCAAGAAGTTCTTGGGGCCTCAGAAGTAACGAAGAGGCCCACAAAGACTGTGAAAATCCGCTCTTGTTGCCTATCAAGGCTTTGAAGGCGAACTGATCGGAGCAAGTTAGAAACAATGGGAGTTAATATTAAGTCGCTACAGCTACGAATGAACTAACAATAAGAAACATTCAGTGGTATTTACGGGGTGCTAAAGGCCTCAAAAGCAACGGAGGCCCAAGACCTTGAAATTATAGTATTAATAAATATTTAAATGAGGCTTAGGAAAGAATTAAGGGAGCCCGAGAATTATTTATTTTGGGGCCCCCAAGGCCTTAAAAGAGGGGGAAAAGGCCGTATAAATAGGAAAATCACAGGCTCAAAATAAAAATATTCGACGGTGCACGAGATGCCTGAGGACTCTGAAAGCTAGCATTTAAATGTCTCCTTCTTCTTCTTCTTCTTCTAACGAGCACAAGAAACTATTTATAAAGTATGAAAAATCTAAAAATCACTTAAAATAAGGGAAAATCACTTAAAATAAACTGTGGCGAAACGTGTAATAAGAAGAGGAGAGGGACGACCACTCCTCAAAGTTTTCGCCAATTTTTTTTTTTTTTTTTTACTTTTTGTCAAACAATTATTGACGACGTTGGTATCCAGATGCTGGAATAAATTTCTGCACTACGTCTTGGAACTGTTTTTTACCGTTTGACGGGGAAAATAGACCTCTCTCTTCCATAAGGGGTTGATCCGGTAAAGTTAACGAGATCTTTTCCCTTCGAGCCTCCAAAACAAAAGGAAGTTGATATTAAACAGCCAAAAACTGAGTTCTAGAGGTACCTGATTTCCGAATTTGCAGCCTAAATTTTTAAAAAATAATATTGACAACATAGTAATTAGTAAGAACTATTTTTGCTCCACTGAGTGAACAGTATCTTTAAAGAATACAGAAGCATAGCCCAGCATGTGCTATTCGCCGTGTCACGTTTCCAAGCTTGATGTCTCAAACAAAATTAGAAGACTCATTAACTCCAACCGATGACACTAGCGCCGAAGTGGTGAATCACTCGAACTAGAAGTCGAATTCTCAAGTCTACAAAGTATATAATTTAAGCTGAAAAGAGAGGTCAAACTTTCACTTCAGCTCTCCGCTCTGTCCTTCATCAACCGGTGGATCTAGATGGATAGGAGAAAGAGATAGGACAACAACATTGGAATGTGCGTAAGTTCATACCTCCCCCCCCCCTCCCCCGACAGCTAGATTGACGGGGAGGTAAATAGAGGAAGTTTTTAGTCGCGACTACATTGCCGAATATCCCACAACCGATATATACCATTAATCCAAGATAATGTTTGAATGTTGCCATTTTTGCGAGGGCGCGTTCGATGTTTTCGTTGAAAGCAATGTGAAGTGGGTGGATTTGGCGTGAAAAATGGAAACACTGTATTTAATTGAAGTGGAGATGTCGGTGCTGCAGATAAGAGGATGAGCTCTTCAGAGCGGAATCGCGGGTGTGTGTATTGGAATAGGTTGGTGTCGTGCTCGCCTTGGCGAGGATCGCTGTTCGTGTGATGCAACCGAGGTTTTAGTGGGATTATCCAAAGGTACCATAGTGCCGCCGCGGGTGTCATATTCTACGATGAACTTTCAAAATGTAAGTACTCTGTCACCTCTCCGCGCCCGGTCAAACTTTCTTGAACGGCGCACAATGGATCGAGTCAATAGGAGAGGTCGGACAAAATTTGGAAACTTTAAACGCTTGTGACACCGTTTAGGTAAGACTTTGAAGTTCTAAAAGTGGTCCTATTGGTTTCCTCGTGAAATTTTCTTCAAGGAGCACCCCTTGAAGTTTAAAATGTGACGAAATGAACATAAAATGTGACGAAATAAACATAAAATTTTGAAATTTCAGTCAAAAAATTCATGTCCGACCTCTCTAATTGACTCGATCCACTGTGTGGCGTCCTGCGTATTGGTCAGACCTGACTGATCATCGGGCTGATTATTAAATTTATAGACAAAACTATGGACAAAGAAGACTAATAGAAAATGGAGCGATTCTGCTGGTGGAGGCGGGTGGTTGCAAAGGATATAGGAAGTAAGCAATAGACTAACTAACGGAAACTATGAAAGAAATAGACTATAAAGTCTATAGTCTATAGACTATAGTCTATTTCTTTCATGCGGAAACCCACGAGAGTCCTCACGGTAAGTCCATAATTTGGACCGCGTTACGCAGAAAGGAACCAAGCCACATCAGCTATTGCCAAATTTAATTGGGCGACATAATTTTTTACATGAAAACGGTTTGTGCGGAATTTTTTCGTAAATTTCAGTGTAATATCTGCATAGTGCGAGACAAATTCCTTAACATGTTCAAAGGAATCCGTACAAACGCTCTCTTGTAAAAAATTAAATTGCCCGGTTAAATTTGGCAATAGCTGTTGCGGCTTGGTTCCTTTCTGCTAAACGCGGTCCATTTCCCTCTTAATCAATGACAACCATCCTTTTCAACCAATAGGAGCGCTCCATTTTCGTCGTCTCCTTTGTCTATCAATTTCAATAATTAATCCAAAGTCGGGGAACTTCAGCTTCAATCGGACGTATGTATGCTGGAAGGAACTATGTTACACACAAACCCTATGCACATAGCTCCTTTTAGCATAAATACGTCCAATTATCATACAAGGCCCTAATTTCGGAGGGTTCCTTATGGGTTGTTTTTGGGTTTGAAAGTATAGAGTTAGCGTGGACTTGGTTAACTTTTTCTTCTTATTTTGTTTATCCCCGCTTGCGCGAATTTGCGACACATTTATGAGGCAGGGATTCATTCCTTAATTACCCATTCACAAACCAAAGGGCAATCACACCCAATTTCGGACCCTAGTGACAATTTAAGCGCCCAGCCCCCCTATACAGAGAGCGAGCAACTCCGTCCGCCCCCTCCCCCTCCACAACGGATCATCATTTTTAAGTGGCGATAAATTTTAGTCTCAATAAATATGTTTTTCTTGAGTATTATGAACTATCTCGAAATGGAAAAAAACTAATACTTAAGATCTATAAGGAGGAACGGAATGTGTTTTGCATCTGATGCAACAAATACCTAATGACCGCTATTCCTTAGTCCAGTAAACCTCCGACTTACTAGTCCCAAAGGTAGGGGAACACATGTTCAGATTCTGAAGCACAACAAAAGAGTGACATTGATTACCATCAGTGGCAATCGCATCGTGAATATAATAGAGTTTAATCGAAGAGGAATTGCGAGGGAGTTTCGGTTTTCACGATTTTGAGTCGAATGTTGCCTATCCTCTAAATTCAAGGCGCCGAAAATAATGAAACTTTTTTGGGATGAAGTTGCGATCCTCGAGTGATTGTACTATGCTTAGCGTCTCAGTTCTGGGTAGTAAAAATTATCTGCTGTAAGTAATGAAAATGGTAGATCGATCAAATGCAATGGTGATTGAGGATTTGAATCTTAAGGCAATATCATTTTGATCGACAGAAACTTTAATTCACCTTTATTCTCCTTGGAAAACACTACATAAGAAGTTGAAAAAAATGCAATTTTCCATCTTACTATGACACTTTTGCTCAAAGTGCAAAAATGATAATGATACAAATCATCTGAAGAGACTCATAAAATAATCGACAGCGCTTGGTTCACAGATTACGATGATCTCATTATACGCCAAGTTGGAGACTGAAAGAGGGAGAGGCAAGAAGGAGGAAGTATCAAAACAAAAAATTTGATACGATAACCCAACGAAATTAAAATCCTAAAAAGGTGATTCTTTTTCTGGTAAAACAAAATAAAATGTGAGCGGAATTTTGCGATGTCATCGTTATGAGTCAGTTGCGCTGGTCTCAGAATCGTTTTTTCATAGTTTTGGCATATAGAGTAGCAATAAACAATGAAATCTGTTCATCCCAAGTAGCTTTTCTCAACGGAAAAATCGCTATACATTGCGATTTTATCGGCGATATAATTCGAAAAAAAATCGCAATCAATGGCGATTTTATCCTCGAAAATTGATCACGATTTTATCGAACCAGAAATGGCAATGTGTAGCGAATTAATCGCAATATATCGCAATTATTAATGCGATATAATATCTCAATATATTGCCACCGATATAATGGCGATAATCAACCGATAAAATTGCTATTTATCGCGATCACTGCTACTTGGGATGAGCAAATTTTTCACGTCCAATATTAACGGATGAATACAGCTCATCTAAAAAAAAGGCGTATGACGGTGGACACAGATCGCAATATAATTTTTACTAATCTTCCAGTTCAAACTATTCAACCACAATTTTGTGACTAGTGCAACTGACCCATCGAAGATACGTATTATTAGACTTCGGCCAGGGTAATGAAAACAAAATGTAAAGTATGCATGTGGATAATGGGTCATGTTCTGTTGGTATTATAGGATGGGCGATGGTCCCTTGGCATTGGCATGGGTCTGTTCCTCCTGGCAATCACAATCAGCTCCCTGTTGGTAATTAGCGTGTGCCAGCAAAATGCTTACGTCTGGCTAGGAATTGTGATGGTGTCAATCATATTTCTCACAACATTCACTTGCACGACGCAGGTCCCCATCCTCTGGGCGCAGGAAACAGATTCGCGCGAAAATTCTGTTGTAGAGGTCAGTATATTTCCTTCCTCTAATGACCGATTGTGAACTATCAGTTGCATGACATAATATGATAATTGAAAAGGGTTATTTGAAGAGGGGTTTAACTGCCATATAATCAGAAATTGAGTTTTCGACTACTATTCGAGTACTATTAGACATGACCTCAAAATAAACTCTAATCGTTTGGTATGATGCTCATAATATGTGTCCCAAGTGAGGCTGCCATTTCACGACGATACTACTATACCATCAGACCATCACGTGGGAACTCGCGATGCCTACGCTGAAATTGAGGGCGAACAGACACGATGTTAATATTATTATCTATTACGGCCGTTTGGTAAATTTTTAGATGTGTTCGAGTAATCGTGCGATGGATTGCGATAATGCTCCTATCCCACCTCTGTCTTATTATCTTATTTTTCCTCTTTCTCGCAGCTTCTTCAATTCTTCAAATAATTATGAAAAAACAAACATAAATGTGGTTAATAATTTTAACTTCCACCGTCGCGCCGCGCCGACCGCGCTGAGTTGGCGCAATGCGTGAAGTATTCGTGCAGTCTTGTAGGCGCTATGTGTTTCACGCCGACCGCTGCTGACCTCACTGATTGGCGCAATGCGTGTAGTATTCATGCAGTCCTGTAGGCGCTATGCGTTTCAAGCCGACTGCTGCTGACCGCAGTGTGTTTGACGCAATGCGTGCAGTATTCATGCAGTCTTGTAGGCGCTACGGCCTCACCGCTCCGTTCCAGGTCAAATTGCGTGTTTGGTTTCTCTCTTAACTCGACTAACTAAAGGTGTTGTCTCTTGTGTCACTGAAAGACAACAAAATTAGAAATTACTACCTATACAATCACACTCAAGAAATGAGAGATTTTGTTGCCTTTTCTCGTTTGTAATTCATTTTCTGAATCCGATTTTTTCCTCTCTTTTTTTGATACCTACATTCAAAAAGATTGCAAAATTTGCCACCCCCTACATTTTGCCGCCATGGGCCGCGGCCCATATGGCCACCCCCTTAATCCGGCCCTGCATGAAATTACTCAGATTGGTGGCAAAATTGTAAACAATTTCCAGGGTGGCCCCCGCACCCCCTCCTACTGGGAGCGGTCCCCCGTAGATAGTCCGCAATAATGGGGGCCCACTGGCTGATCCAGCCCTGGGATCCATCAAAACATGTGAGGGCGCCTGCGCAAGTGAGGAAGCAAAATTTTAATTACTTGGAAAATGATGATTTCACCAATCATTTTTAAATAAGAGGAAATTATTTTTCGATCAATTTCTCTGCCCCTCCTCGTGTGACACGGTGCAGCGGCGGGTTGTACAGCGAGAAACCGAGCGCCTTCAATTCTCCACTTATCTCCACCATGACATCTCTCGCGAATGAATGCGTTGGATTCGAGTATCTATGGTGCTTCAGTTTTATTTCGCGATGTGCTTAGCACGATTTGTAGATCAATCACTCGTACCTTAGAGATGTCTTTCTGTTATAAACGAAGGATTGAAGCCGTCCAGTCATTTTGGATCGCGGAACAACCCGTCGCGCGTCGTCGCACAGTGGATCGAGTCAATTAAAGAGGTCAGACATGAAATTTTTGACTGAAACTGCGAATTTTCATGTATATTCCGTCACATTTTAAATATTAAGGGGTGTTTTTAGAGGACGATTTCATGAGGAAACCAATGAAACCACTGTTAGAACCTCGGAGTTTGGCATAAACGGAGTCATGAGAGTTTAAAGTTTCCAAATTTTGTCCGACCTTCCCCATTGACTCGATCCACTGTTCGTCGCTGCGCCGCGGGTGAAGTGGCGAGTCAAAACGCCTTCATCTCCGTGCGTATGCAACACGGACATCTGTGAAGCTCGAATAGTTGTATCCGTGTAATGAAATTAGTTTCACGTTCGTCGCGTGCGATACTACTTGAGGGCGCGTTGCTTGTTCGTACACCCTCAACTTAATTCCGGCATAACGTGCTATGCCGATGAAGTAAAGTAAGAATTAGTATTTTTTTTTTTTTTTTTTTTTTTTTTTTCCAAAAAAATTTTGTCAATTTTCCAAAAAATCCATTCTATAAATGTATTACAACGTTAACGGTCCTCAAAATTGCACAAAACGTATCAGAGCAAGATTTTTAGAATTCTCTGAAGCCTGCATTATGAGTCATCCTTTGTTTGCTATAAATAATATTTCTCTCACTGCTTCTTAGACTGAAATAATTGATCATCAGTAGGCAATTCAAAGCATTTTTTCCCCTCTTTTTTCAGGGTGATCCTGCACATAATTTATCACCTTATTGGATTCGAGTGACAGATTTACCACCCAGTTACTCAGTGGCAACTTCACACCATGTGATCGCCTTCAGAGGAGAAAATGTTGAGCCACCTCCTTATTCAACCGTGATTCTTCAAACACCGAACATAACTTACGGCCACAGCAACCCTGTTTTTAACTATAATGAGCCAGATGTGGCTAGTTTACAACAGGTGACCGCGCACAGGCCACCTGCAGAGAAAAGCTGTGCAAACCAGCCATATTTGTGTGAAAGGTGCCATCATGAGACAAATTCAGTCCCTCAAGGAAAGACTGAGAAAACATCCGACAGTGGCAGGTCGTTGACCTCAGAGTCTCAGCCATCAGATAGACTTGCCGAAAATCAAAACAACAATCATAGTCAAGCGAATGAAGTTCTACCCCCTGATAGACCGACTGACCCAGCAGTTTTGCTATCAAAAGAAACACATCCTCAGTCGCAAAGTATTCAAGAGTAATTACATAGTCTGTGATAATAGATAAGTAGGCTTACTGACATAATTTTAAGTTCAATCCAGACGTTTCAGGTAAAATTAAAAAGTTTGACTTTTATTTATTTCAAACTCTTTCCTCAGTTTTGGGGAATAAGAAAATCTCCCCAGATAGTCAAGGAAACATTGTTGAGTGTCTCCTCATAAACGTTAAGTGTAAATATGGGCATATTTTAATTGATAGCAAATAATTTGTACCTAGAACTTGAAAAATGCCTAGTGAATCCAGACATTGATATACTATTGAATGTTACTTTTTGTACTTTTTTGTGTGCTGTGATGTACTTTTGACGTTGAAATGTACATGCCAAGGATTATTAAAACAAAGTCAAAGGATTTTTTAAAGTTCTGAACCTGAATACTGAGTAATATTTATTAGAGGTGTTAAAGTTACTACAAGTGCAGGCTTCTAAAATAATATGGATCAATTTTCCTCCCCATTCATACTGAGCAGGCGCAATATGATACTGTTTACCTCTTAAAAAATCATTAAATTGTGTATTTCTTGCCAAGATCATGCTAAATTGGTGATAAATCTGAGAAGGGCTGAGAAACATTATTAACTGAGACTGATATTTTTGCTAGGAATTTGGCACTTATAGTGCCACACTTTTAAAATGCCATAATGGACAGTGCCACAATGGACCAAATGCTACAATGGACAATGCCACACATAAAAACATAAATTCAATTTATACTAATTTCCCAGCGGTCTTGAAGGCAAAATAAACTGAATTTAGCTCCTTTCTGACTACATTCTAAGCAAGTTTGGCAAACTTGCAAACAGTCAAACTGTTTGACTAAATACTTAAATATCAAGTACAGTGTCAACTTTGCTTTTTTGCTTGCTTTTTTTTACAATCCTAAATCAAAGAGAAAAAGCATTATCCACAACAGCCAAAAAGGTGATTTCTTTGTATCCAATCCTAGGTCCGAGAGAAAAAGTACATACTATCTTTAATAGCAAGAATACTGCTGAGAACAACATGTTATGAACTGCTACAAATACAGACTTCATAAAATACACTGACGTTTGTTGATACAAAAATGTGTTCATTGTTGTTATTACATACTGAAAAACATGCTTCAACTTTGGTAGTATTAAAGAGACTTCATACCACTTTAACGGTACTTTAATTTTTGTTTGTTTGTTAATTTATTTGTTTAAATCTTGTTCAAGAAAATGTGAAAGGCGATTTTGAGGGGAGCAACTTTTAAAGGTAAGGACAAAAAAATATCAAATGAACAGCTCATTCATAGAACAGTTTTTATTCTTATGTAAATACAAAAGATACAAAAAAGACCGAATGGGGGACTGAAATGTCCAAATTTTATCCAATGCAATCCTGCGGACTTCAGGTAGCCCCTGCCTCAAAAAGAGTTTGGTTTGGTACAAAATACTATTTTTCTGTCCTCCCTGGACTCAATTGATGACTTAATAAAGGAAGTTTCTAGAAAATGTATTAAATAAGCGAACAAAAAATTCAAGGATGAAATCAGAAAAAACTTCCATATAAAGATTTCAATGAACAATTCAAAGACATAATCGTGCCCTTCAACGTTTATGAAGAATGAATGCAGAATTGGTTAATTTAAAAATTACAAACTAATATTTTATGTAAAAAGAAACAAGAATATAAATTACTTTTTCTCAGCATCATCTGATTTTTTACTGTCTCCACCTTTCGTGTCCTTCTTCTCTTTCTTGTCGGATGTGAGAGAGTCAACTGCTTGACGTACGGCTTCACTTTGTGGATCGACTCCGGGGAGATTTTCCAAGACACTTTGTAGGAACATGGGATCACTCATGACTTCAGAATAATCCATTTCCTCATCCTCTTTCTTTGCAGCTGTAGTCGATGATGAGGACTCACCAGCAGGTTCTTCTGCACAAAATTAAAACAAAGAAATGATAAATTAAGGGCACATCATAACTCATATAATTACTACTTAATTATAATAGTAAAATTATCATAAAAATTCATTGGAATTAGAGCCCAACATCAAGCCTACTTGAAGCAATTTGTTGGAATTAAAGCTTGCTTTTAAGTAAATTTAAACACTTTTTTTTTTCTATTGTACTCTTTGTCCTGTCTTGATTCGATCGAAATAGGTGAAAAACTGATTCAGAGCTGTAATGATAAATTAACGTTCTTGAGATACAGTGTCATTTTTTACTGCCGAAAACGCGAATTTTGATATTTCTACTAGATTTCCTGACAGTTCGTCAAAAATCATTTTTCAAACTAATGCTATGGTCCGAAAATGCATCTTAGCCCTTAAAATTAATTTCCTGTCTAGTAATATTAATAGACAATAGGTATGCGAACAATTTTTGCTCTTCTGAATAATGGAGTTCCCAAAGATACACACCATTGCAGTTTCACCGACGAAATGTGATATCGAACTGTATTTACTTAAATTATGATATGAAAACTGCGCTCCTAGCTGAAGCAAAAAAAACTTACGCGACTCTTGCATTGACATTTGCATAGCAAAAGCAATTTGCTCATCTTCAGACATGTTGGTGAAGTCCAAAGATTGAAGAGACACAGGGTTCGCTGGTTTGGCAGCGGTTGCAGCAGCTGGAGAAGGTGGATCCAGGGACATAGCAAGAGCGCGTTCTAACTCACTTTGGGTTCCTGAAATTTTGTAAAGAAAAAAGTCTGCATAAAATACATTTAAAAAACTCCACTTGATAGTATGAAATTTGATTGTTTCAATCTTGGTCTACCAAAATTTACTTGAGCTTTTCAAAAAAGTCAAAATTAAAACAATAAAATTAGTTCAAACTAACTGAAGAATTGCAAACAAACATGTTGCAAAACACTACCATTGAAAGTAATGCTAAAATTAATGAAGTCTAATTTGGAATAACTGAAGCATAAATGTTCTCTGGGTTGGCTTACAGTAAATTAAATTATTCATGCATGATGCTTGAGAATTCAACGTTTCCACTCTTCTTCATTTTACAATTCCCACACTTCTCATTCACTCCAAAATGTTTGAATTCTTTCATATTCCCTGGCCATCAAACTAAACTTCTTTGCTCCTTATTATGCTGCCTTTTGCTATTTAAATATCTCCGCTTTCTGGAGGTTCAACTTATGAGAAAAGGCACTTTGAGGATATTTGCACTCTATCAATGGCACCGATTGAAGTTGCTGAGCTGGTGCCCAATTCACAAAATTACATGACTTTTCCGGGTCACCATAAATTATAGAACCTTCCAGGTTTTCTAGACCACTGAAAACCCTCAAATCTGAAGAGAAACAATTCAGAAACAAATTTTCTTTCTTACGAAAAATATTGCAAGTTTTTTTCTTTTAAAACTTTCAAAAGTTAAAACTCCCATAAAAATCTTAAAGCTACCACCTTATACAACTGAAAAATTTAACCATCTCTGGTGCGGTCTAGAATAATCTATCAATGTATATTAAAACATAAAAAAAATTTAAAACAATTTGAACAACCATAAACCAGAACTAATCATCTAGAACTAACCTTCTTTATTTGTTTCCGTGCTTGTCTGCGTTTCTGTTTTACGCGCATCTTGCTCCTGTCTTTGACGTTGCTCTTCCATTGATACTCGCAATGCCTGTAGGTAGAAAAGTTAAATCATTTTTTTTAAGAAGACATAATCTTAGCAGACATGATGATTTTTGGGTCAACTGACCTCTCTGTATCTAAGATCCCTCTAACTCTCTTTGTTTGCCAATCAAAAATTTTGATTGTATTTTTTCATAATTTCCTTTTTCTTTTTTTTTTCTATCAAAAGACGAGGTTTCAATATTCATCACCGACAAAGTTCAAGAGAATATCAATTTAAAAGGGGAAAAAACAACCTTATTTAATAGCGTGCTTTGGTGCTTGGCACCAACAAAATATTAGATGAGATATCATGTTCATTAAATGAAAAATTCATAAAAAAAATAAGTGGATATGTATATTGCATTAAAGATATCAATTTTCTCAAATAGAGTAAAAACGGGCATATTTACTAATCGTAGATTAAATGGCATAGTTTTTTAATTTTAAATATAATGTTACCGATTCAGTTGGATACATACCAATGCTAATTCTGGATCTTCGTTCGGGTCAACTCCAAATTCATAGCCGCCTGTACCAAAACCACTTGGACCAGCACCATCTTCACCCTGAAATAAAATAAATGTAAATATTTGAATTAAATGAGTATCTGCAAGATTAAAAGTCATCAATCTTTGGTGACTTTGAGTTCACAGTATCTCAACATTCATGAGGAGACACTCTATACACATTCTGAAGCAAAAAAAGAAACATTCCCCTGATGATTCCCCTGGTGATTCATACCCTTTTTTAAGGAAAGGGATAACTTTACAGTGTTTTTAAGAGTTATTGCAGAGCATTTAGATGCTTCAACGTCAAGTTTTGATCAGAGCGAGAAAAACAATTTTGCAGAGTGTGCTGTTAGAATATCCTGAATTGAAGTTAAAAAATCTCTGAAAACTATAAAAAACTATTCCAAGCATCGAAGTTTTTGGTGGGTACACTAAAAATGTTTTGTCTTAAAGTTTTCTGGATGTGATTTGACAATGGGGCTACTGCAATATTTTAGTATTGCCTTGACAACCTAAGTAAAATATGGCAAGTAATGCATTTACAAGTTAAAAAAAGCTCTAAAAAGCTTGGTTCCTTCTAAAAGAATCTTCTCTTTTAAACTGTTGAAAGACAAATATTTAGAATGAATGTAAGGTATCTTGAAACTAGAAGATACCGAGTGATACCACAAATACCAGTAATACCACTGAATACCAAGTAATAAATGGATACTCACAAGAATGACTGGTGAGGAAATTAAAGCATCTGAAAGATGTGGTGGGGGCACTGTGACTAGGTGACTTCCACCTCCTTCCTTTCCATTTAGAATGTTGATAAATCCAGAAAGGGCATCATTATTAGAAATCTGGAACATAGAAAAAGGAAATAATGCATACATTTACATTTTGAGAAGCTTTCATATTGATCTCAAAGAATCAAATCTTCTATTAGGCAATTATGAAAAAATGATTTTTGGAATTTTCTTCTTATGCTGGAATCCATGCGCAGGGATTTGGGAATTACAAAAAATAAAGAGGCAAGTAACACTAAAGAAATTCATATCACACAGGAAATTATGCCTTGGAAAAATTAAAAAGGATTTCATTTCAAAGTTATGTTTCAAATTACTATGGTAAATCTCTGAAAAGGGAAAGAATCTCCGCAGAATCTGCTCAGATAGTGAGCTAAACATTATTTAAATTCTGAAAGTATCAGCTCATCCCTTGTAGACATACATATGTATGTAGCAATGTAAGATGACACATTTATGCTTCATCAAAGTTAAATCATGAAAGTTTGATGTTACTGTTAATTAATACTTAATTTTTATGAATTTTCAGTTGGTAATCATTGCATCAACATATAAAGACCAAAACTGTTCTTGGAAAAAGAGAAGGAATTGGTCTGTTTCAAACTACACCAGGAGGGAAAATTGGCATTTTCCTTCATGGAAAATTGCTTGAAAACCAAGATGATTAGCAAAATCTGAACTTCAAAAAAATTCTAGGGCATGAACATACTTAATTTGATACACATGAGCCCCTTTCATGACGGAACCCTAACTCTCACAAAACTGTAAATGGTCGGCAAAATACTTTTTTTTTATCAAAACGTCACTCTGAAAGCAGGGAAGTCAAGATGTTGTATAAGTGGCTTCTGTATGTTGTTCGTTATTAACCCAAAAACTGCTTCACATAACAGCAGTCATTTTAAGTTACATATGGAATTGTGAGACCAGGATGACTCATATGTATTGAATTATATCTTAAGGAATTTTAGGCTTTGGGAATGTTCTTGTTGATTTTCGAAAAATATTCCTCGGGAAACAACTCTGGTTTTTGCTCTGTTTGAAGTTTGTAACAGACCCATTGAATTCAAAGGTAATTAGGAGGGGATAAGGGTCAAACGTTGCCCCTTCATTTAATTTACTTAAATTGAACAAAGAGTAGGATGAAATTCACAGAGAGAGGTGATCATCTAAAACCCATTCTATAGATTTTTATGCATTGTTTCTGGTCAATCTGTTGATGCTACAAATTTGAAGAAAGGAAATTTTACTACTACTTTACCTCTTCACCAAAACTGACGATATCAACATTGACTTTTTCTTTCTTCAACCTCTTAGCTAATTTTGTCATTTCTTTAGATTCAAGATTGACTGGACTTCCAATGAAGACGACTATGCGCATCTTATGATTCTTTCCTTGTCTGTGCTTCAGAGCAAGCTGTAAGAAGGGGGAAAACATGTAAATGAGAAAAAACAAAATTAAGATGTGCAAACTAATAATTTCATGCCCTTGATTATTCTGGTACTTTAAATTATTGTCTTTCCCCAATTTTTCAATAAATTTTATGATACTTTCCACGTTTTAAATTATTAAGTAAAAAAAGGCCATCACTTCTGAAAATGGCCTCACATTTACTATGATCCTTGAATCAAGAGATCAGGCATTTTCAGTATCCTTAAGTTCCAAAATGTCCCACCAGAGCTGAAAATGTGGCCTAGACCGTAAAATGTATTAAACATGCTGTAAAATCTCCAAAAGTGTTGCTAAAAATTTTACTTTGACAAGAGGATAAATTTGACTAAAAGTGTTAGTCGGCGCTTGAACAGATTTCAGATTTTGAAAACACAACTATTTTTACCCCAGAAATAGAAAATCGCCCATTTTTGTGCCATTTTTTTCCAGCTTAAAAGTAATATAGCATGATAAAGTGAACTTACGTGAGCTACTCGGATACCAGTTAAAAAGTTGATTTCACCATCAGGCTGGATTTGATGTAACTTAGATAAAATTCTTCCAACATCAGAGGTAAGAGACGAGACTACTTTGACACTGAAAAAATACCATTCAAAAAATAGTTAAGCGTAATGACAAGGAATTGAGATAAATGACATGATTTTGATAAAATCAGGCAATGATACAGGGTAAAAAAGCAATGAGTGAGGAAATCATTGTCAAAAGAACTAAATGCATCAATAACACTGAGATTGATATATTGAACTTAAATTTACAGCTTAATGATGGTGGTCAGTGGTAAAAGTAAGCTATGAATATTCAGAGTTGCATTTTGTAGAAGTGATCTCGCTTTTAATTTAGATGCCTCCAAAATAAAATGCTTTAAAGTGGTGGAAGGTATATAATCATACGGGACAAACTGATTTCAGTATTTTACAATTCATCTCCGCCTTTAAATTATTAAAAAAGAAGACCACTCACTCCCATCAGTTTGAGTTTAAAGTGAATATTTTTTTACAAAATAAAGAAACTCACCTACAGTTTTAAAACATAATAGGTACTTAGAAATTTCCGGTAAAAATAAGGCATTTGAGAAAATTCTGATATTTCTTGACTTACACAATTCTTTTAAAATAAACTGCCTAAACTAATGAACAGTCAAGAGGAGAGACTTACTTGGCCATAGTCAAAAGACCGACATTGTTTTCAGGGTTTGACCTAGTTTTTGAATGGCACACGACATTAATAGCATCCTGTTGAGCTTGTAACCGAGTTGGGATGAAATCACCGTTCCTCATGAAGTCGCTATTGTCAACACTGAACAAAGATCAGACATGAGATTAAAAAAACAATGTATTGCAAATGATTTCAGAAAGATTTATTCACGATACATTAGGCTACACTACTCAAGTACTTGAGTATATGGCTGGAAGTGTTTCACTAACTCCTCAGTCCCATTCACCAATGTTGCTTTTCGTGGATTGAGTTTTTTAACAGACTGGGCCAATGGATAAACCAAAGAAATCGTTAATGCCTAACAACTGCTACTATCATTTACTGATCAATACAATGCTCTAACGAATCAGTTCAGAACGGTTGAGTGATAAGGAGTCCTACCAATCGTTCATGGCTTTGTCCGAAGTAGGGTAGTATAACCTCTAAGCTGAAGAGAAGCTTTTCGACATTGATTTAACGTCCAATAACTACATATCAGATACAGGAAGTAATTACCCCATAGAAAATCCAGGGGTAGGTAAAGGTAGACATAAGGGCAAATAGCTGAATCAGCGTAAACAGGATCTTCCTCAGTGCAAATTCTTTGAAACATCCTTTTCACTTCCTAAAAATAGGTTAGCTAATCTGGCTTGCGCTTCATGGAGAGGCTACAAATACATATAGGTATTTCTAAAAATCTAGCTTTCTGATTAATGATTAAAATTTAGGAAGACACCTTAGCTTCAATTGCCCAACAAATGAATTTTTCAGTGCAACTGGCAGAAGACTTGCCCTGGAAAAAATCCCTAGGAAACCCACATGCGTACAATAAGCACATCTATCCTTACTAAAATTTTCCAATTGGAATCAAGTTATCACTAATCAACTGTTCCTCTTCACTGTGGAGACTAAAGAAAAAGATGGACAGATTGAGATGAATCGACAAAGAGGTCGATTGGCCATCAGAGTTGTTCGGTTATTACTGATTTTGGCATGTGAACTTATAATCCAACAAGTCATCTTACTGATAAGGTAATAGATACCTTAGAAGCTTAGCAATACTGGCTTGAGTTTTGGAATAAACATTGGACTTTGTGTTGTCTTCAAAACGTCATACATCATGGTCAGCTGGGATTCACGGCGTGACTAGCGCTTCGGAAAAACATTTGATTCTATATGCGAAAGGAGCCAATGCCTGCTATACCTATGGTCTGGTTGCAGGTGGGTTAAATTCCTACCATTAATAGTACAAAAATATCGAGGTAAAAACGTATATCCTGGAGAGGCAAATCAGTGATTTAGAGTACCCTACTGACCACAGAAATTTGCAACACTTAGAGCTTCAAATGCAAGAAATAGGAGAGAATTATAACTCACCAAATCATTGTGCTTTCAAGAACCATTGTGATACTGCAAAAATTCACTATCTGTTCTATTAATTAGGAAATTAGACGACTTTTAACTGTTTTTCAGAATAAATCAGGAAAAAATTTGACCAAAACAAAAAGATTGCTTGCTCATCTCGGTGATTGATGCAACTGTGAATCCTTATCAGTGGATTTTGGTGCAAACACGTTGTCATATCTGAAGTTTTTAATTTTATAACTAGAGAGCGCTCGATACCTATTAGCTTTTGGCGGTTTATTTAAATTTAAGTAATAATGAAGATCAAGGATCTGATCAAGCAAGGCATTACCGCTGCGGTATTTTTTTCGATATACATAAACAGGAAGGAAGTAAGGAAAAACATGCAAACTATTTCATTTCTTCTATCTATTTCATTGGCCAATTCACTCAACCTTTGAGTGGGAATTCATGAGTGTGGAAATTCGGAAGAACATGTTGATAACGTCATCTAATTTTCGTTATCACATACATTGTCCTCTTTGCTGCTTCTCCTTCTGCCACCTCTTTTCATTAATTTCTTTAGAAACATTCACTCTTAATTTTTTTTTCTCCAAAACAGTTTTGGAATAGTTTAAAAAAAAGAAGGAAAAATCGTCCCGCTTGTCATCATTCAAAGGGGCAAGGAAACTAAAATGGACAGAAGCGGCGATGAAATGTTTAGTATAAAAAAATCCAATCCCCCATAAAATTGAATGGTCTTCGTCAGCAAATTAGGTGTGTACTCACTTGATAACTTTTGTTTGAATCGCCCCATCTCGACGAGATTCTTTTAACGGCATTTCAGTTCGCCTTCAATTTTTAGTGTAGGCACCACGAGCTCCCACGTGGTCGAATAGTCGTATCATGCCCCTGGTCAAATGCAAGATGCAATAGTCAGCCCTATGTCAATCTCTGTCCCCTATGGGCGAATTTGGTGTGGACACGGCAATTTTTGCTATTTAATATAATGTATAATAATATAATATGATAATTTTTGTCAACTTAGGTCTCGTCTATACGGGATGCCTTCATGAAATTTGTCCCAGGGAAAATTCTCACTTGCGAAAGTGGGAAAAATATTCACTAAATCAATATGAATTGCAGTAAAAAGTATAGTCCTTGTGCTCCTCGTAGACCTCTACGACCAACTGAGAGAGGAAGAAATAAGTGAAAGAAAATTGTGTGCAGTATTTTGTTGTTCACTTATTCGATTGTTTGTTCGTGTTTGTCCAATTTAACTATTGGACAAGGCGCAAAGGTGCAGTTTTTGCTGTTTCGAGTTATAAGTGTTTGAATTTTCGATACACGTTGCTTGTATTACGTGGATCCTTATGGCGTGAAAGAAAGTTCAAACTGACTTTTGATGCTTAAAAATTGGAATGTGGGAGCGAATTTTACAGACTATGCATTAAGTCTTGTTTTACTTGAAATAATTTATATCTCAATTTTTTCTAGAACTGCACTTAAATGCGCAATGTCCTCCAAGTCGTTCAATTGCAATTATATCTAATCATTATCTTACTACCGTTAAATAGCCGGTTTTTACTAATTTATCGTATGGTTGTCACGGGAACGAGAGAGCCCCGCCCCTTCCCAAGGAAACGGTAATTGCGAAAGGCACCTCTTTAAGGGAGTCAGGGTAATTTTTCAGCTTCAAAGGGGTAGTAGAGGTCCAAAAATAAAAACGAATCAATGAATTTTGGAAATGAAAACTTCTCTATGACCAATTTGAGTTGCTTTTATCGGAAAATGTATTAAGTAAAATTTCAAAGATGACATAAATATTACCCTTTGCCTTTGTCAGTTATTTGGACAAACACCATATTCAGGGTAAAAATCAAGTCATATCAACTCGTCACTTTCGTAAAGATAATTATTTTGATTATTTATTAAAATGAATGCGCAAAGAGTTTAATTTCACTCCTAACTTTAAAGTTGAACTATATCTTCTGGTATTTTCAATCGATTAAGTATAGGTATTAGGATTGATGATGGAACTAGTATAGTCATTACATTTATCCTTTATCATTTGAATCAACAAAGTACTGGGAAAAATCCTTCACATTTTCTGACGGAGATCGAGTGGAATTCTGGAGGCCATTCCTCCGCCGGCCCTCTCCCTAATTCTGCTTATGAATTATCTACTTCGTAAAAGCTAGCTAACTGTTCGCGTAAAATTGTCCAAAAAATGCCTTGAAATTAGGGGATAGGCACGATCAGCGCCTTTTTCCTCATTGATCGGAGGGTTCTTTACCTTACCCGACCTCATCCTGATACATTCTCTGCGGAACAAAATATCACGAACCACCACACTGAGTTCGTTTTAGCCTTCTTTCCTTGGCATTTAGAGGTAACATTTTAAACTGATAATAACNGGGGGGGGGGGGGGGCTGCCAAACGGCATAGTTGTGCGACGTTGAAAATCTCTGCTCAGAGTAAATTTATGTACAAAACCGACGAACAGTTTTTTAACTTTTCAAATTATCTTCAGTATTTAAAAAAAACAACGGAAAATGTTTTAGAAAATGTTTTGATAGGGTTAATGTGGGAGGGGGGTGGAGGTTTTGGAAAAAAATTCTGATGAAAAAATGAGACGTAAACATAGTACTGTGTTCCTCAACTTTAGCTATGAACACATCAACATAAATTTTTACAAGAAACTACCAAACTTAAATTCAGTCGGTGATTCTACGTTTTCTTTTGGCAAAAATAGTCAACCCTGTTTCCTCAGGATTTCTTTTATTTTCTTGACTCCATCAGACACACATAAACTTATACATGACCTAGCGAAAATCCCGTGACTGTAGTCAATGGTTGAGATGCTTTGCCAAAAATTATAGGTAATTTTAATAATCGCTCGTTTCATTAATGGAATGCTTTACAGGACTTCGCCGTAGGAATAGACATTGGTAGATTGTTTCGATCGACATAAATCGATATAAAAATAGAGACGAACCTGTTTTTCGATTATTTCTAGATCAAATCGATATCGAGGGGCTCACGTTCATCTATTTCGATCGATTCCTATTCGATTTCTTATTCTTTTCAATTCTGTCATCATTTCCTTTTAGTTCTCTTCTTCTTCTTCTTCTTATTCTTTCATTCTTTTTCATTAGTGATTCCTCTTCTCTTTCCTTTTCATCTTCTTTATCTTCTTCTTCCTTTTTTCTCCTTCATGACTTTTTTTTTCTTTCTCATTTTTCATCGTTCCTATAACAAATTCACTTGATAAAAACCGCCTGACTATGGGAGATCATACCACTATTCAACCACGTGGGAGCCTGTGTTGCCTACTCTGAGAATTGAAGGAAAACTGATATGACGTTAAAATGACCTCTTCCCGTTAGGAGAATAGATGTTACTTGTGAGTGTCTCGCTTGAACTCACTATTTCACGACGATATCACTTTTGGACCACGCTAGAGCTCGTGTTCCCTACACTAAAGGCAAAATAAAATGAGGTTGAAGTAACCGCCTTTGGTTCGGTAAAAGCTTTTGCTTATACGAGCGTGCTCCGAATTAGCGTACAGTTGGTATTGTATACAACAACTTAATTGGCGCGTATGCTCGAAGAATTATGATTTATGATTCAATTGTTTGTTTGTTATTTTATTGTATGTGTGTATTTGTGTATTTTTGGGCCACCAACGCGTACTTTTTTGTTATAATTGCGCAGTGCGTTTTGAATTTTTTCTAGTACAACTGCAGTTCTCTCTTTTCGTTAATTTTCTCTGATGGGAAGATGCTTTCCGAGCGATAACTTTAAGGTAACGATTTAGCCGAATAAATTTAATCATCGCGACATGCATTCAAGCAGTGTGACATATTCCTTTAAAGGATAGAGTAGGATATATAGGTTTTTTCGAGAGTAGACTCTCTGCTGAAACTTTCTTGGAACCTTGGATTCTAATGCGATGCACTAACTGATTCGTAACTAAAAGGCGATGAGTTTATATTTTACTATAAAATATTAAAAAAATGATCCATTTTCCAAGTCTCTGCAAGAGTTATTTATCAGTCTGAAATTATATGAAACATTTCTTCCTCGCAAAATACAAAGTCCTATTGTGAAAATTACTAATACTTAGTCTTCCAAACAATACTTAGGATGATATTTAAGGAGCAAGGATTGAAGGATTAATCTTGGGATTCAATAAAAAGCTTCATTCAAATCTCAGTAAAAATGTATTAAAACAATCTCATAGAAAAAAACCTAACTTGATAATCTATACAAGGCAAATAAGTTACTGTACATGCTTTAAAATATAATATAAATTAAGGAAAACAAAAAGGAAGAAAAAACTAATCCTGAACGCAGGGAAATAAAAATTGAGGTACAAAAGAAACTAATAATCGACGCAGTCTTAAATTCATTATCACTAAAAATGAAAAGCATTTTCTGTTAAAAACTTCATTCCTCCACAAAGATACTCCCCTTTTTCGGGAGAAGGAACGTTTCCCAATAAACATGTCTGAGGCAAATTCTCAAAAATGAACGTGAAAGTGCTCTTTCCAATTGAGTAACCTCTCATGTCGTTTAATGGACTTCACGGTGCGTTGATCCCTGACTGTAGCAGTTTGTATCTCTGAGAGTATTAAATCGCTAAACAGATGAGTTCATTAAAGTAATTAGAGCATACATGGAGACAGGGGCAATGGGGCATATACTTTGACACGCATCCCTTCTTTGCAAACAGAAAAAAAATCAGCTTGAACACAAGACTAGATTGAGCAATATTACAGTTGACGTCACAGAATAAAAAGAGGTGACAGCCCTACATTTTCTGTTATTTTTTTAGAGGGGGAGAGGAGTTTCACAACCAAATTTGCTTCAAAATTTAATAGAACTGAATTATTCAGAACAAGGCACCTTCGAAGAATTGGTCGACACCAATTAAGAAAATTATTTTTTTCATAATGAAGACTTCGGAATGCATTACACAAATTCCACACAATAATAAGAAATGACATATTCTTTTGAGCATCAAATTTTCAGTTTCAAAAATCAAATAAAAACAATTTTGCACATTTTGTCAATGTCGATGAAGAAAATCCACGGGACGCTATTAGACTTTCCTCATTTACCAATCCAGAGTATCCTTCTGGTATTTGAAACGAGGGCTGTTTTTGGAATAAAACTGGCTGTACCATCTTCTGTAGTGCAGGATCGATTTATCTTCTTTTACAAGAATTGGTTTTTCTTCATATTTCTTATGATTCCATACCATTATGTCCCGTTCAAGCTGGAAAACAAGAAAATGAAGGCATTTGTTAATATTTAATAAGAATAAACAAATAAAACTTTTTTCGTTTTTATCCCTCTAAAGCGGCTCTCTGGCCTTGGTGGCTAGGCACTGAGGCTAACAAGATAACTTAAAGCATCAATCTTCTTACAATGCTCATACTAAAGCAGGCATTTTTTTAGCTGTAAAAATATTTTTCTGGAAGAAAGAGGGCATACTTTCTTCATAGGTTGAAATCAATTGATTCTCTTCCGTATCTGCGACACAGATGGTGCAACATATTAATCGATCGATTGTGAAGTGTTTTGTATTTTTTTAACACGGTTGTTTTCTCCCCCCCCTTTTTTCAAAAAATAGAGACAATATAATTACCATTATGCACTCTGCTGACAACACGAAGTGTCCGTATAGCAGGAGAGTTGGAGGACAGTAGACTCTATGAATAACTTTTTGAACGAGAGGTTCGACCGGAGTAACAGTTTGTAACATCACAAGGCGGCCGAGGCATGTGTCCATTGTAAGCTCGACATATCCTGGTCCGATCTGCAAATTATAAATTAAGAATTTATAATAAAATAAAAAATTCAATAAAATAGCTAGGCAACACACGTCTATATTAAATAATGATTGAAATGAAACATAGAATATGTAATATGTCATATCATTTAAATAAGTTCCCCTTCTTATCTTTTAAATAAAAGTTGAGCAAATCCCTAACCTGTCCCCCTTTGCTACAAAGAAAATGGATGCCAAGTTTCGACCCCCCCCCCCTTTTATTTTCTTGAAAGGAAACGGAAAAATAAATTTTCTAGTAATTCTAGTGCGTTGGAAATCTCAAGATTCCAGAGTTTTAATCCTCAAAGACCAGGATAACTTTCACTGGTTTGAATTCGGACTCTAAAGTTTGTGATGACCGTCATTTTTTTTTTCATTACGGTTGTCGTTGCGTAAAATCTAATTCGCACTCTACTCACACGTGGCATCACAATCAATTTTGACTAAGTGATAATACTCATAAATACTGATATTACCTTTAATAGATATCAATGCGAAGAAATTCATCTATATATATATAGTTTAAATAACGCATATCTTCTTTAGCATTATACTGGACTGCAGTTGTTTTTTTAAACTGCTGAATAACGTTCATTCGATGTGAGAATGTCTCTCTACAGAGGGAGTTTATGTTACGCGTTTCCTCTAAGGCATCATATTGACGTTAATCTGATTGCATTTTGCAAGTATAGAAACTTCAACATCTGGCTCCTCTTAATTGCACCCATCTGCATCAGGGAAACTAATGGCATATACCTTCTTGTGTTTTTTTCTAAAACGAGGCAAAGACAATGTATGTAATTCCTCATTGCACAATTTGGTCCAATTTTAGTGATGCCCTTTGTAAATATAAATTTAATCACGGTCAACCGATGAGAGGATTCATGTACAAAGAGATTTTAAATGGCTTCTTAAGCACTGTATTGAGCTCGATATGCACTGGAAAAAAAAAAAAAAACACATTGGCTCTAGAGTCCAGAGTCTTAAAAAAAATCGACAAGAAAAAATACTCTTGATTCAATCAGATTTAAGCCTCAATCAAGAACCAAGCCTCTTAATTTGAGCGGATTTCCTTTTAATTTAAGCTTAAATCTGATTGAATCAAGAGTTCAGTTTCTTGTCAATGTTTTCAAGAGTCTGGACTCTAGATCCAATGTGTTTTTTTTCCCAGTGTGTATTTCTAAATATGTTCTTCGTAGATAGACCCCTTCTGTTCAATGACGTGGAATCTACGTGGAAAATCGACTGAGTTACTTGAGTGGATCCTTGCTCACCTGCTCAGCGGTGACTTTGACGGTGATGACGCGGACTTTGTTGAAAAGCCGAACCTCGTGCGATAAGTGCATCGTTGCAGTGTGCGGTGCATCGGTGTTGGCGTGCCACGTGCCTGCCCAGTGGTGCCGAGCGAACGCCGTCCAAAGTTTCTCGTAGTAGCGCAAGTCACTTCCTCCGAGCATCAGGGGGCTGTGAATGACGTTCAGGTGAGCTAAGTCAGCACCGTTTTCCGGAACCTCCTACGAAAAAATTCAACGCTCCATGATATTTCTGACGGTTGAATGCAACTAGAAGCCGTCAGAAGTTGGACGGATCTAACAACAGTTAGCCTGCACTCGAAAAAAAACACATTGGACCTGGAGTCCAGACTCTTGAAAACATTGACAAGAAAAAATACTCTTGATTCAATCGGATTTTTGCTTGAATCAAAACAAAATCCGCTTCAATTAAGAGGCTTGGTTCTTGATTTAAGCTAGATTCTGATTGAATCAAGAGTACTTTTTCTTGTCGATGTTTTTAAGAATCTGGACTATAGATCCAATGTGTTTTTTTGCCCAGTGTAACTACATTTCACGATGCCTAATATCCTTTCACGTTTTATATTTTGGCAGGGAAATGAATGACGAAACGCCATGGAATTATTCGCGAATGTACTATAAATTATAAAAGATATGACTATGAAATTGTTTACTCATGGGCTGTTCGTTCTCCGTTAAAAGAAAAAATGAAACATGAGAAAAGAATGGGCAACGTTTGACTATGGGCACATATTCAAGGCTTATGGCCTGGTTACACGCTCAAATTTCCGTCAAATTCCGATCAAAATGATGACCAAGATGACGGTCGAGAGTTATCTATAGATTGATGAGTAAAATTAATTAAGACAGCGTGTTGATTGAAATAAGCATGAAATAAGCACGGTTTTGTGGAAATCAGATAAAGGATGAGCCCCACAGTTCCATCATCTACCATCAAATTTTTGCAGGCCGCAGAAATTTGATGGTAGATGGTGCGCACTAGTCACCATTTGATCGGAAATTGATGGGAATTTGAGCGTATGTAACCAGCACATAAGGAACACTACCGCCTAACTAACAATTTTGACTGAAATGAGTTAGCGACTTAGCAGCATTCTTCAGTATTAAATACGCCAAGCTGATGTTTTCAGGTTGTTTTTCAAATTCCGCATGGGAGCGTTGTAAAGACGCTGTAATGTATAAAACAGACTGCAAGTCTAACCTCATAATCACAAGAATGGCGAGGTTTCTTATTTGTCCTGCAAAATCGTCAGTTTGCAGATAGGCGATATTGTTCCTAAGCCATCGATATGTCGTTTCTAAATGAGCCAAAATGCCACGAATGGTGGCTCCTTACCAGTGACGTGGCTTGCTTTGCGATCTATCGATATTTCCCCATTTGAAGCTGTGGTAAATAATCGATTATTAAAGTGTTCGCTGCGGACACCCTGTTTATCTATACCTTTCCATAGGTTTAAATGACCGAAAAATCGATACATCGCAAAGCACGCCACGCCACTGCTCCTTACTGCACAATGTAGTTCGATTAAAGACAGAAGGTCGGCTGTAATTAGATCGAGTCTGACACTGTGCTACGCGTTGTCTGCCTTCTTCTCATGTCACACTTTTAAATGGTTAACTGGGTAATTTCCTGCCTCGAAAGTGTGTTGGTATCAAGAACAGTTCAGCCCCTTGCCCCTTTGTGTCGTAGAACCCGAGGGCCAACACTGTTTAATCCAGAAGTGACCCAACTCCGATGGATGAACTTTTCTAGCCGTGCGTTTAAGTCTCCAGACCATAATTTTGCACTTCATATTTTGAAAGGCCTTTCCAGTTATTGCCTGCACTTCTGATAAAACAAAAATCTCAATGATCTACACGTCCTTGCGTTTGTCTTTTGTTATTTCATCTCGTTTTTATTTTCTGAGCTAATATCATACTGTGTTTTAAATTTTATTGCAACGATTTGTTGTCTTTCATTAAAATTTGTGAGAGTTTATGCACAGACACGGGTTTTTCCTTGTTTAAAACTAAAATTTCCTTTAAGATTTGAGTGATAATACATAAACAATAAGTTGCTCTCACTCTAATCTTTTTTATTTTAAGTTCGATGTATATCTATTTTTTTTTCAATGAAAATAAAATAATACACGGCATGGTGATGATTAAAATGAACTTACCTGTATGTGAGCATTGATCATGTGTTCGGAGCGGCCAATAAACCACCAGTCGCCATTTGAGATTTGCTTCACGGGCTGTGGCTCCCATGTTGGGTCCTCTCCTTCAGCATGATACCAGACAAAAATGAGATCGTTCACTTCACATGATTTCCAAGTTCGGACTCGCGCAAAGTCTGGAACTGTTGGAAAATTCAAATTTAAAGTTATTTTCCAGAAAAAGACGACAAGAAAGTTATTTAAATAGGAGTAAATGGTCGCCATTTCGGTGCAAAAAAAGAAAAGAAAAACTAATTGGTTCAGTGCATTATGTAAACATTGAAAAATATTCTCGTGCTGATTCCATCTCACACTGTAAAAACTAGTGTAATGTTTCAATTCCAGTCAGGGACTTTTTGATATTTTTTTCAATTCATGGCGTTTCAATACAAATACCATGATAATTTATAAAAAAGGACTGATTTTTGCATATTTCTAGCAATTGGCAAGCATAGTTAGTCTACCCAGAAGTGGTCTACTACTAAAACGAAGATGGAGAAACTGCCATACCTAACACATAATTAAGCTCCTTTTTTACAATCAAATAATTAAAGGAAAAAAGAAACATATTTAACGTAATTGTTATTGGAGGATTAAGCGTAGTGACGCAATCATGGATTTAATTAAATTTGTGATTTTTTTTTCCTCTGTTGATTTTATTTTTCACTCATGCATAGACTCCGGGGATGTGTATGTAGTTCTTCCGATGAAACTTATTCTGAAACGCAGAAAGACCGGCAAAAGCCACAAATTCGACTTTGAAAAGCTTACCTTTTTCAGAATATGGCACGCTGGTGCATTTTCCACTATTCCCATCGAACTGCCAGCCGTGGAAAGGACATTCTAAGCAGTCACCTCTGACCACCCCACCAAGACCCATGTTGGCGCCTAAATGAGGGCAGTAAGCGTCCATTATATGGACCTTCCCTTCTGGCGTGCGAAACACAGCAAAATTCTCGCCTACAGCCGAAAAAAAAAATATATAAGTTTTTACAAGGATATAATCATCGAGAAAGGTTCATTTTCAACTTTTGGAGGTATGTGCGATATTGGTGAAAAAAATTCTAAATTATAACCTAACGAAATCAATGAACGGCAGTTTGTTCACTCATTTTAAGCAATATGCCTCAATTACGGTGTGCAAATAGTGTCCACACCAAAATTTCCGCACAGAATTTTCAAAGAATATTTGCACCTCAACGAGAGTTCTGAACTTGTTTCAAATGTTATTATTCATGGAAATCAAATCAAATACAAAGCTACTACTCACCTAGTGCTGTGACGTATTTTACTTGGTTTTTGGAAACTTCAGATGATTCCAAAATGTTGAACCATCCATTGGGGTAGACCGGAGGAATGTTCCCAATTTTTGATGTTTTCCTAATATTTTTCACAAGTTGTTGGATACTTTTCTTTTGGTGTCGCGTAGCTGCTTGCTCAATGAAGTAATCATACCCCACTTCACTTAAATCCTGTACAGAAAAATAGCATAATCTTAAACAAAATCATGTCACTCAACGATTATTTGAACACTTCGGATCGTCATTTTTACTATATCAAGATACGGTACCAAGTTCATAAACTTTCGTTGCCTCTTTATTCATGCCCTGGCCGAGTAAAATACAAAAATTTGACAAGCAGATTAATTTCAGGCCAATAAAAGCGTAAAAAGAGAAATATAAAAGAATGATGTAATTTTGAGTTTGAGATGAAAAATCTGAATTGTGATAACAAAGATATGGACGGCGATATAATTTTAATCGAACAAGCTGAAAAAAAGATCTAAATATTTAAATCTATATCTCATCTTTTCAAATTATTAAAGAGCATTATTTGTGCTCGTAAACTTCTCTAATCATATATTACTCTCCAATTTGTTTTCAATGAAAAAACATGTAAAAACAATGTAAATTGGGGAAGAAGAGAGTATTCGAAAGATTGCAGTTGACTTGAGTAGTTTCATCCGCACTTACATGCCTCGTTTTGAACAAAGTTTGTCGTCAATTAAATGGAATCATTGGACAATGTCCTGTTCAACTACCCGAAGAATTTCTGTCGAGAACATTCATTATATGGAATTCAATCATTAGTTTTTTTAATTATCTCGAAATCTGCTTGTGTTGACTTACCCGAACGTAATTTTTGGGGCGTATGATGAAGTAGTAACACAGATATGCGAATATAATAGTTGGAACTAAGAACCATAGCGATATCTGCTGAATCAGGTATATAACATTCATGACAATAAATTTGAGTCCAGCTCCTGTCCAACTTTTTTCAGCCATAGTGTCCCATTTTGCATAAAATTCTTGAATCAGCAAGGTATCATTGATGTCTGACGGTCCTGAAATCAAAATATTCACCCCATTTAGATACGCATTCTTCCTGGAATTCACCTCAAATTTATTTGTTCACAGTTTGAAATATTATAAATCGATAGAAAGATCATACAATTTTTACCTTCTCTCTTGGGGTAAGAGCTTCATGGGACTTTGAGATGGGGGGTAGGTTTTAACCCTCTTTTTGCCCAAGTGATCTATACACAGCACCATTTACGAAACTCGATGCTCAAAGACCAGTGGACTAAAAAGCGTTGTTCGTAAATGGGTTCCAAGCCTCCTAGCCTCTTTCAAAGCGCAAAACATTTTACATAACGCTCATTGACTGGCAAAAGCTTAAAATGAGTGCAAGAAACATTGATTTGTCATTGCAGATTCAAAATTCGAGGCCTATGTGACGGGAGGACGATTTGACAGGATGTAGATTCGATTCACGGTCACACCAAGGAAAGAGGAGTCCTACGTTTGAAAATTTATTCGGAACGCCTTACGACCGTGATGGACGGTTCCGAATATCTTATAGAAATCATCTCGACGTGCTAGATTAGCATTATCTCGTTGAGATACATTTTTCTGTCAAGATGTCTCATAAATTCAAGCGCAGGACGTAAAATCCGTGTCATCGATTAATATAAACAAATTGTTTATTCACAGTTTTTTTCGTATTATTCACCATTTTTTTTCACAATACAACAACTTCGCTTTTTACCTTTTAAAGAGAAAATCAAAATAAATATCCGAACAGAGTCTATATTACCGTACATATGATGTGCAACTTGTAATCAATTGTTCAATCTTAGTTCAAAAGCTTTCTCATGTTTAATATGAGCAAAAACAAAATTCGTACGACGTTACTAGGAAATCGCCCCGCGGCTGGCACACGGTCCAACCCAGAAGAACCTTATGCGTGGTGTAATAAACTTGGGGTATAATACGGAAATGCGAAGATAACAGGCTTGGCTACCGATTATTTCCAGCTGGTGAGGTTCAGTATATATGATAAAAAAAATCAAAATTCAGGAGTCAAACTGTTCAGAGTAATGGTTCAGAGAAGCGGCTTTTTCAACTTTTTATAGCTTGTCATTCAGTACCGCAAATGACCCAAAGGACAATGATTTAATCTTTCTTTCCGCCGTGATTTTATCACCGGCTGAACGAAAAAAACAGATGCAACGCAGGTTTTGACGAATAAAAACTTAAGTTCCGAAAGAACTGGAGACGAATTTTCTCAATTGCTTTCGAGAGAACCTATTTTGAAAGAAGATATTCCTTATCGGTCTACTTACGGAAACATCTTCGGCTACCTGTTATCACTTTATTTCTGACCCGAATCACTTTACAGTCGTGGTTCTTTTTTCATTTTCGACGCATTTATATCCTATTTTTCATGGTTTTCCAAAGGAATAGGGGACAGAAAATTTTGAAAAAGTAAAATCAATAATGTGGTATCCTTCAGCTTGGAAGAAAGGCGCCCACTAAAATCTACTAAATGAGGTCGATAATTGGACTAGGCAACGTCTCCGCGAGACAGTGGTTCGACATTTTCTTTAACAACGATCCCAACTTGTTTATTATTTCTTTTTTTCCCTTTTTTCCCCTTTTTTTCCCTTTTTTCCCCTCTCCGCAATTTTGATCAAATAAGGTTTCTGCTTATGCATATAGATTGAATTTTATTGACACATGAGATGGTGTATAAAAATATATCAACTTTAGATAAAGTTAGTTCTTTTCTAATCCTCCTACACTTAACAGGAAGATCGAACAGTGCCTTTTGAAATAGATGTTTGTCCCGTGCTCAAATGTTGGAAAGAAGAACAAGAAGAAGAATTCAAGATCCAGTTGTAATTTCATTAATATAATTATTATGACGAAAAATAGGGGTAAAATAGTTTGCAAAATTAATCATAGAAGAACATGAACAATATCATACTAGGGAAAAGTTAATTAGTTCCCTAGTTGTAATGAAATCAAACATTTGTAAGGATATATGTATAGAAGCCCTACGACTTCTTACGAAGCGTTTCTTTTCTTATCTATTCGTTTAACTCTCTTCATTAAACAGCTCTTACAAGGACGTATCAAAATAAAGTAAAAATGGTTATGCGTTATTCAATATTATTAAGCGTATAGACGTCTTCATTTCAATGTGACTTTTTACCGACGCACAGAACATATGAAGAGGATGCACAACATTAAGTATGCTCGTTGCTTTCCTTTTCCTCTCTTATACGGCGTTCTTAATAGTTTAAGATACAATGCCTCTTGAGACTATAAACAATATGACAGTAAAGAACAACATGAGCTCATCATAAAATCCTAAACATTGAGGTATGTACGGGGATTTTCAAAAACCGGAGGGCCGTGTAATAAAATGCACAGGGCCCTTAAAGAGTTGCGAAATTATTATAGCGTTTAGACAATGCTTCAGGGTAAATAACGAAGTAATTTCTGCTCATTAATTTGAAAAGAGATAAAAAGCAGAGCTTGAAATGTAATTAAATTAAATCTCGCTCGGAGGAAACCACCAACAAGCCAAAAAATCCGAAACATTTGAAACCTTAATTATTTACCTGCTCCAAGGAAGTGGTCCCAAAAATATTGAAGATCCATTTTTGAATATTTCAAACAAGAATGCGTCGATTCACAATTTAAAAAATGTTTTATTATCAGGGCACGAAACAACTTTTAACGATTTGACTATGGACGACAACAGAACATAAGTTGGAGGATGATTTCAGCAGTCAAAGGGCACCGTTAAACAATTCCAGACTTTCAGTTGAAAACTGTCGATAAGCAATAAAAAAATTAACTCCCGCACGCTTAAATAGATTAACAGTCCCGTTACAGTTCGTGATTAATCGCGTTAGAAACAACACCGCGAATATTTAAATGAAATTGAGCGGGAGTCAAGCCGTTGATAGTGAGTCGAACCGTTCTCGTTATGAGATTTGTAAAAGTCAGCACTGTGAAATGGAATCTGCAATCGCGAATGAGGGTTGTAGGTGATGGCACAAGCTAAGATGATAGGACTAGTCTCGCGGTTTGAGCCGTGCGCGCATTTTGGCCAACGGGTTTTGAATGAAATCCCAGCGGACCTCCACGCGGCCGATAAATTCAAATAAGTTTTTCCCTCACTTTGACTTTCAATTGCCGGTCCCCGATTTGTCACCGTTTCTCTCATTGGTTGTTCTCTTTGAGCAGTCTCATTCTCTTTGCTCCCCTACTTTCTCCTCGCATGTACTCACTATTGCAATCGCATTTTTGGCCGGATATGGTACCGCATAGGCATGCTCAAAAAAACATAAGATTATGACGATGACATTTTGCGGTATGGTCGGCAGTTTTCAACACTCGATATCAGTGGCTTGGCGTGAATTGCTATATATCGATTGTTATGCCATTTAAACCCATGGTAAAGAATCGATAATTAAGGTGTTCGCTGCAAACACCCTGTTTATCGATCCTTTTCCATAGGTTCAAAGGGCCGATCAATCGATATATCGCAAAGCACGCCACGCCATTGCTCGATATTGCCTAGTAATTATCCGGAGGACAGAAACGTGGTAATTTCGCGGTAACTGAGATGGTTGTGTTGCAAACGATTAAGAGCGACTTAAGGTAAAAAAAATTAAAATCCGAAGTGAGCCGAGTTAAAATGCGTTGTGCGTTATGCATTAGGTTCTCTTATGATTTTACATCGAAGGGTATTTTCCAGTTCTTTATGTGTCACCTATACCGATTTCGAGGCAAAAGAGACATTTTCGATAGTAAATTAGTGAGATAAAAATGGATTATTTTCAGATATACAATATATACATTACATACATTAATTCCTTTAACCTCTAAAATCCTCAATTTAGCGTGATTGAGGTGATTCGACGGTTGCCATATTTTGTGTCAGAGCGACGTGTGATATATATCGCATCAATTCCTTCTATAATTTCAGCGACTTGACATTTTTTTCGAATTTTGAGATTCTGTTGTCATGAGACTAGAGAATTCATGTCCTAAATTTGACAAAGAAATTCAACGTAAGGGAAGAAACGCAAGAAATTCAACGGGAAGGTTTTTTCAGAGGAAAAATATCGCATTTGAGTGCAGTTTCGATATCAGTATCGAATGCGATATTTTTCCTCTATAAGATCCCTGCCTTTATTACGTTGAAATTCTTTGTCAAATTTGGTACATGAACTCTTTAGTCTCATGACAACAGAAGTGCGATCTCAAAATTCGAAAAAAATGACAAGTAACTGAAATTATGGAACGAATTGATGCGATATATCGCGTCGCTCTGACACAAAAAATGGCAACCGCCGAATCACCTTGGAGTGGAAGAAAGTCCCCAATTTTACGTGAAATTTCAAATCAGCCCGAGGTGTCTTTCTTTCTCAAGAATCGCCAATTTTCATCTTTCTTAGCATCTTTCATGTCCGGTTTTCAAGGGTTCGTAACGCTGTGTCGATTACGTATAACCGACAAAATTCGGCAGTGTCACCATATATTTATGATAGGACCAAAGAACTGAGTTGTAATTTGAAGTCTTATTTGTTAAAAAGTTCAACCTGGTACCAAAGCGAAATTTTCTGTATAAAGCCCGAAAGAGGGGAGTTTAACACCCGTTGAATGAAATGACGAGACTTGGTAAAAATTGGTGCCCTTTTTCATTTTTCAGATTTCACGCATCTCAAATTATTCCTGCTACCGTAAAATTACCTATAACAAGGCTAACAAGCCAACAATTAGTGAGACAAGATGACGTACTCTTTTCGATGGAGGATTTTTCAATTGTTTGTTTCCTTGAAAAAGGAATGGAACGACACGTCAGCATTGTTCTCTGGAAATTGTGCGCTAATTGATTTACATGAGAAACTAGATTGCTCAAAAATTTAAACACGATGCAAACAACTTTGGCGCTATTCAAGACAGCGCTCGCTATGATTCGTATTAACCTAATTATAAACACGTGTCTTATTGAAATTATAATGCGCCCGCCAAATAGGCATGC